AAAAAATCCTACGATCATTAACCACGACCGTCAAAGCCTCCCCGCCGTCACATGATCAAAATTCAAACATAGGGCAACTGACTCATATTTATGATGGTTGCAGTCTCCCGGGGGGGGTCATGTGATATCCCTTTTTGTGACCTGACGAGCAAAGTCAACAGGGAAACCAGATTTACTTAACTTTAACAAGTTGTGTTATTAACAACCGCAGCAATTCACTTAATAACTGCGGCAGGAAAGGTTGTAAAGTAGGGCAAAACTCACTTAACAACGTCTCGCTTAGCCATGGAAAAGTTGGCCACAATTGCAGTTGTCAGTCAAGGACGAGCTGTACTGCTCTAGTTTCTACCCTCTAGCCTAAACCACGACACCAAACTGGTTCTCAATTGTTTCAGCGTTTTATTTATTTATTTGCAACTTCTGGTTCTTATCCACAGCCCGACATGTATCCTGGCAACTGCTGGGCTTTCAAAGGATCTCAGGGTTATCTGGTGATCCGGCTTTCGATGATGATTTATCCCACATCTTTCTGCCTGGAACACATCCCCAAATCGCTTTCCCCCACAGGCAATATCACCAGCGCCCCAAAGGATTTCTTAGTATACGTAAGTGGTGCCATCTGCAAAAGGAAGGAATGTTGTCTCGTGTTCAGCTCAGGTTTCTTCAGGGTTCCTGGTAATGATTAAAGGATTTCTAATAGCTCTATATAATCTTTTCTTTTTAATCTTTCCCAGCAGGCTAGGTCGGCCCTTAGTTAATTGCTGGAAGAGTTGAGGCTTATTTGGTGGATTGATCTAATGATTAGAACAGGAATGCAGAGAACGTAAACAAGCATCAGTTGTCCACCGAAATGAGGAGGACTAGAAATTAAAGTCTTTTCTAAAGGGTGAGGTGTTGGAGAGCAACCATCCCAGTCCTCTCAGTCAGGAGGGCTCTAGCAAGGACTTACTCTGGACTCCCTATGTGAACCTAAGAGGGCAAAGTCTGACATCCCCCGTCCCCAAATCCTCTGAGCCTTATCTAGTCTTTCCCCAGTGAAGACTGCCAACCTGGGAAGATTCCTGCGAAATAGACATAGGAACCATCAAGTAGCTGGTTTGAAGTGGAAGTGATTGTTTGCCTGACGTCAGGGATGCAAAAAGAGTGTGAAAGGTTTAAGGGCTGTATTAGTGATATGGGCAGCACAGACATTTCATAAATAAAGTAAATAAATCATCGTCTCTGTTCTTTTTGGGAGGCCAGCAAGTCTGGAAATTAAACTTGACCCGTTTATCTTCTTTATCAAGAATTCAGAGTGACACAAACCGTTTGTATTGACAGGGTCTTGAAAATGAGTACCAAGAAGAAGGAATACTTCTGGGCCAGTATACATATGATCAGGATGGAGAACCCTTACAGATGTTTCCAGTCACGGTAGGTCAACATTTCGGAAGATAAAACTTGGGGCGAAAATGTTGGGCTCAGTTGCGGTAGGTCAGGACTACCTATAGTGGATTCTAATAACATTTTCCTCTTCTTTTAGAAGATCTCTGAAAAAGCATTCCAAATAGTGGAACTAAGAATATTTTCCAACTGGGGTAACGCAGAGTATACGTGCCTCTATCGCTTCAGAGTGCATGGGCAAACTGCTGAATGAGCACTACGCTAATTTTCCGACTCTGGTTGTATATCATTTCTGTTTTTAAGTTTATAAAGGGAAATTTTGAACACTGGAATCTTTAAAAGAGGAAGAGTTGGGTGATGTACGACAGGTTGTGTTACTCTTGCCTGGCTAAACGTAGAAGATTGCGAACAAAATTGTATCCCAGACCTAATGGTTATTTGCTCAGATGTTCAACTTGTAACTGCCAGACAGCTTTATGTTTTTAATGTATTCTTTCTGAGGGGGAAAAAATGCATGCCAACTGCTCTCATTCTTAAGCCCAATTAGCACATCACTAACCCCGTTTTAATAAGTCAGAAGACAAAGCTTTTAAATTTTTCCTTTTGGCCAGTAGGAATCTGGTTTTTTTTTTTTTTTAATATTTGGACTTTCCTCTGCACCTGGATGTGATTAAGATAAAAAGAACAGTAGGTGAAATTTAACATGTTCTGTTGTTTATGCAGTTCCCAATCAGATGAAGGTTTGTTTGCAATTCCAGCACAAGCCTTGAAACTAAGGTCTGTTACCACTGCTCAGACCTTTGCTTGACAAAACTGCTTAGCAGCTCATCCTTGAAGCGGCTTCATCAGTTCCAGTCATTTCTGTGCAATATTTAACTTTTTATGTTGAAGGTTCTGATTTCAACCGAAGTGTTTGTATATTCATCTTTTAGATTTAGAACATAAACAAAAAAAATATCCTTTGCTTTATTGGGCACGCGAAGGCTAACAAAATTAGGAGTTAAACAGCCAAATGAATACCAATAGCAACTGTTTAACACAGAAAGGGCTTGAGTCTGATTTAATGTGTTCTAGTAAGAAATAGGGATGGAGTGAGTTGGTTAAGTTGCCTCGTGTGCTGAAGGCAAAATATCCTCATGTGTGAGCACCGAGTGCGTCCAGTGAATTAAGGTGGTGGTTACATTGAGAATGGTTTGAATAGACTTGAATGAGACAGATTCATAATATAGTTGGCTACCATGTGACGGGAGATAATGAAAAGGAAATGTAGAGATGGAGTCAGATGTAGAAGATTAAAGCAGGAACACTAAACTTCAAAGAAAGCAGCTTGCCAGTAAAATTCCTGCCTGGAGCTTATTCACATGTTGAGTTTTGTGCAGTTTACCTTCCCAGAGTTCACACTGTCCTCTGGCATTGCTGCTAATCTCTGATAATTCAGGGAAAGCTTCACAAGGCTGAGTATATGGAAAAGCACAAAAGGCGCCGTTTTGAATCAGTTCTCCAAAAACAAAAAAGTCATCTGTATATTTATGGTACTTTTTTTTTTAAAGAAAAGCATGTGGCTATATATATATATATATATATATATATATGTGGCTATATATATATATATATATGTGGCTATATCAAATTCAGGATGGCACCTGGAGCTATTATTAGATTCTTATTCTAATTTCTCTTAAAGTCATTGAGTACAAGCTCTGGCAATTCAGCTTCCTTTTAAAAAAACTAATTTTGACATATTGTCACGATCTGGCTCAGAAAAAGCTTTTTTGTTCTATGAAAATGGTACTTCTGAGTCCTGGATTTTTGGAAGGAAAACTTTGATTTCAGAAAAAAGATATGCTGATTTTTTTTTATTCTTTCGTATGTTGCACAAGAGTCCTCAAATATTTATAAAAACAAGTTTTATTCTTGAATACCACTTGTTCAACTGAGTTTAGCTGAAAGTAGAACCAGTGGCTATTGAGAAAAGCTTGGTAAAGCCTGTTAACAGTTTTAAGAAAATGATTCCAAATTATCCTGTATAAATCCAGTTGGGGGAGGGCAGGATTTGTTTGTTTTTTTTTGCATAACACTAACTTATTTTTTAAAAAAATGAGATAGGACTTTGTGCAATGTATTTTTGTAAATGCTTTTTCAAAATATTTGTCTCTGGTATCCTTTGCTGCCTCCTAACTGACCAGAAGCTATTGAAAAAAGTTTAAGAATTTTAATTTTTGAAAGTGCATGTAATATTTGGAAATAAGAATAAAGTTTCCTTTTGGATATTTATACTGAATGCTTCTTACAATATATGTGGTTGGGGAAGGATCAAACTCAAAAGGATTAGTAAATATAGGAAGCAGGCAAAAACCAAAAACAGTTATACAATTATTTCTGCTAGATAGAAATCTACATGAAAAGAATGCATAGGAAGGAACTTTATCAAAATATTCAAGTGTAACAGTACATCCATTATTTCTGATTTCCACGTGGTCAGTGTTTTCAAAAAAAGAGAACAGTGGAAGACATTCAAAGCAGATATTTCAGTATTGCCTTTCCTGGTTTTAGAATGACAACTCAAAATTAGAGCCCAAGGAAAGATTGTTTTTTCCTTAAAAACAAGGTAGAAATAAAAGAGAGCCTTGACAATACGCATTTGGGTGCAAATCAATCAGAATAGAGCTGGAAGGGGCCTTGGAGGTCTTCTACCTTCCTGCTTAAGCAGGAGACCCTATACCACTTCAGACAGGTGGCTGTCTAGTCTTTTTTTAAAAACCTGCAGCGATGAAGCATCAGTGATGAATCACAATGTTGATTGGGTCTCCAGGATGCCCTTTCCCCATTATCACCCTTATTTTCTGTCAGTTTCAAGCGAGCCGGATGCCTCATCCTCTGTGAGAAACAGAAACCTTAGAAGTCACATCACTTCAAGAAAATAGTCCCTAAATTTGTCGATTACAACTAGTTAAGACTGGAACCGGTTTACTGGGACCTCCAGAGTTTCAATAAACCTTGGCTGCCTGCCTGCTTCCATCCTCATGCAAGACTATGAAACATCCCTCCGTTTGCTTTCAACAACCACAGTAAGCAGGTCTCATCTCCGTGATTCAGTGTGGTTAAACTCGCTTGGCTAGGCAACTCCCACAGGCAGAGCCTCGCTTGGAACGCCCAGACTGGCTGGAACGCCACGTGGCCGGGAGCCCTTGCAGCGCCCTCTTTCCTAAAGCCAGACGGAACTTGGGAGGACCCCATCGGTGGGACCTGAAAAGATGGGGGGGCTTGTCCTCTTTTCCACCTTCAACACTTGTTCCAGAAGAAGTCGGCCTTCCCCAAGCATCCCTCAAACCTCAACAGGTTGAGCAGCCTAGCTGCTGAAAGAAAAAACGGGCCCCATTCAGCTGGGTCGGCTTGCAGAGGCGGCAACCTGCACGCCTGGCCTGAAGGATGCTCTGGTCCAGAGGAAACTGCATCCTCGGCGGCGTCGCCTAGGAGACGCCAGCAGGGACCGCCTCCGCGCGGCTCGGCCGCAGGTGGAGGTCACATGACCGCGACGTCACTCGCCCCTCCCGCGAGGGCAGCGCGCCACAAGCCTCGGTCCCTCACCGGCCGCCGTCGCCCCATTGTTGAGTGGGCGGCGCCGGAAGCCGCCGTGCGTGCGTTACGTCGCGTGAGGTAGCTCCGGCCAGGGTCGCCTCGGCGTTTCTCCCCGCCCCGCAGTCATGGCGGCGGAGCAGGAGGCCCTGAAGGGCGGCGGCGGCAGTGGCCGCAACCGGGGAGGCGTCCAGCGCGTCGAGGGGAAACTCCGCGCCAGCGTGGAGAAGGGAGACTACTACGAGGCGCACCAGATGTACCGGACTCTGTTCTTCAGGTGCGCAGGGAGGGCAGCCCTCCTCCTCCTTCCAGACGCTTCCATTGGCGCACCCGAGCGCCGGTCGCACGCGATTGGCTGCGTCGCTTGTCCTTCCCGGGTCCTCGAAGCCCCATTGGTCGAGGGGGAGGAGGCGGGGGAGCGGGCACGCCGGTCTGACCAAGGCGGGGGGGGGGGAAGGACTCCCCAGCCCATTCTCCCCTCCCATGGCTGCGCTTGGCTATCCTTCATATCGGGTAGGGAGGGGCAATCGGGACCCCCGCGCGTAGGAATGGGGCGGAAGCGTTGTTGGCGCAGCGCGATGGGTGGACTTCAACTCCCAAGGGGATTCTGGGACTTGAAGTCCACCCATCATAAAGAAGCTCAAGTGCCTTTAAGGGACATCTGGGCTCAGACATGGAAGCTTATTCTGCAAACTGACATGCTCTCTAGTGCAAACCCAATTGTACATCATTGGGGGGCTTTGGGGAAAAGTTTTGGGGGGGGCTTTCCTTTTCTACAAAGAGGGGGGTGATGTTTTTGGGGTGCAGAGGCTTGCCATGAGATGAGACGGTCTGTTCTAGATCTCATACAGAGAGGCCACACTGATACAGGACTGGTGCATGTGTATATCCTTTGGGGGGAACAGATTGGTGAGTTTAAGGGGAGATTCACAAATGATGTTAGGCTGGTTGCTGGGTTGGGGGCGGTTTGAACCCAAGGAGGAATCCAGCTGCTCACTTTGGGTGAACTATGATAAGTCGGTTCTTCCCTTGGATAAACCTGACCAGTTAGTTATGCTATATTCTAGACATCCAATACAGCTGTGGTTGAAGCATTCATTCTCCTGCTCATCAGATTTACTTATTATTTTATCTATTCATATGTCACCCACCTCACTGTCCAAAGCAACTCTGGGCAATCTAGTCCGCTCTCTCTTATTTTAGGTTACAATTTCAAAGATTCTTCTGTTGACCATTACGCCTGGGGCAGATGATGCTGGAGGCCTGAACACAAAAAACTTCTGAGTAGTGGTTGCATAGCCAGATCAAAGGTAGTGAGGATTGAAAGGGGTTAAGCTAATCTGTACAGAAATAGGCTTGTCAGGAACTCTTAAACTGGATGTTTAAACAGTCCTCCATGTTAAAGAGCAATAATCCTGAAAATAGCCCCCACCCACCCACTCTCTTAAGTGTGATTAAATCAGCTGCAATAAAAATGTATATCTTCCTTCGTGAAGACAGGGCCAAAAGATAATTTAAGTGGTTTGTTTGTGACATTTCTGTGCAGAGCTCAGAGATGGCACACGTTCCATTCTAGATGGGTGGATATGTAGAAACATAAAGGCAGATTTTATAGCATCTTAAAAATTGCCAAATTTATAACATCAGAAAATTATTGTGTGCACTACAACCTGCTTTGTTGAATGATCGCCCTCTGTTTATAATTATATATTTTTGCCTAAAAACCCAAGAGAATGAAAAGCAAGAGACTTTGAAAAAGAACAGCAAAGTACAACATCTGTGCAAAGCTTAGCACGTATAAAATAAGATCAATAATGCTCCCAACTGCAACTTTTGAGGTGTTCCTTTCTTTTTAAGAGATTGGCTTGCCTGCTGTTCTAGAAATTTCCATGGTGCAATGCTATCTTTCAAGTCACCAAATGTTTGTGGATGGTATTAGATAAAAAATCTGTCAAAATAGTAACGTTGTTTCCCCCTAGATGTGATGAATATGCCAAAAAATAATACAGCATCTGATGCCAATCTAAGCGGTTTTGAAAAAGATTGATTTCTTTTTTCAGAAAGTGGGCTCCTAAGAAATAGATTTTGGTGAAATCAAATGAAAATCCTATTTACCGTAGCTGCTGTTCACTTTAGCCGGAAAAAAAAAATACTGATGTGATTAAGCAAGATTTATTTTGCTAATTTTATATCTTTTTCAGCCCAGTGATAGTTGCAATATAATGCAACCACCTTGAAACTGCTTGTGTTCTGTGGTGTTGAAATTACAATATTCCAGATTTCCAGTCTGTGGTATTATAGGCTGACTATTCCTACAATTGGGCAACTTATTTGGAGAGTGCTAAGTTGAAAGCGGCTGTCTTAGTGATACCTGAAAAGGGAAAGATTAAATTGATTTAAAAGGCTAAGAAATCTATTGTTCTGTAGGCTTTTTGTAGGTTGGATCTCACTTCATCAGAGGCATCTGACAAAGTGGACTCCAGCTTCTCAAAATTCATGCCACAATAAATCTGTTAGTCTTTATTTGGAGGTAAGTTCCTTTGAAAGCAGCCTTATTTAATTCTGAATTGGGATCATAGTGTTGCTATCAGATAGATTTAGCATCTTTCCAAACTGTTCAGGTGAAATGCTGAACTGTCCTCCTCTTGGGACAGCTGTCAACATATGATATGCAACCACAGTAAACAACAAAATGAGGCACCTAATTAGAACAAGGTTTGTGCTATTGAAAGTCTTGACAGCCGTCAATTATACAGATTAGCCTAAGTGCTCATAAAAATGCTTATGGTTAGATTTTTGATGAATCTGGAAGAATGCTCCCTGGCTCTCCAGAAAGATCTGTCTTCATGCACCTTATTGTTTGTCATTCACATAAGATTAAAACCATGTATAATTTAAAGATTAGACACATTTTGCATTCATTATGGAGCGGTAAGGAGTTGTGGAAGAAGGGACATTTTGACATTTTAAATTGATGGGTTGGCAAGCTGGAAAATGGATTAAGGATCCAAAACTCATTATACCCGTCACACCAAATAGAAGAAAACTTGTTAGGAATCAGCAGCAGGGGCAAAAGTTTGACAGTTAATTTAGTGAAAATATAGTAGGGATATATCTCACCTCCCAATCATACTGTTCTGGAGATGGGTCAGCGGTTTCTGGAAGTAAATTTTCCAAACCAGAAGCTAAAATGTTGATTTTTTTGGATTTTACCATAGTCCAGAGGGGTATAGTTATTTACCCGGTGGTCTGACTGAAAAGGCAGTTTTTTTATGGTCCGAAGAAAAAAAAGAGACCAAAATCATTCTTGACTATTGATGGGTGGAAAAGTTGGCTTCTCAGGGTCCTCTTATTGAGATACCAGTTTCTCTTTTGTTGAACTTCGAAATTATTTTGAATTCGTGCTGGCAGTAAAATATTTAGTAGGCCTCATTGTGGCCAGTCTAATACGCTTTTGAATTGGGACAGCACTGGCTTTTCTTGTGTAATAGTGTCTACGATGTGTTAAAGGACAACAGCAGAAGTCACTTTTCTTCTCTCTGGATACATGTGTTTATTTTTCTAAGCAAGATCTAGGAGTCTAATGTTCTTGGGGATTACAGCCATAAATATAGGAACTATAGTTCAAAATTACTTTTCATCTGCCTTTCCCTAATGTTGTATTTTCTTGATAATGTTACAACTCTAAGAAGGTCACCATCTTTGTCCATTGGAAGTTCTGGAGCATGTATTTCCAGCCTAGCATGGAGACAGCTATTCTGCAGCTTTTTTTTTTTTTTCATTAATCCTAGGTAGGTTCCATAAAACAGCGCTCCGGAAAGGCAGAAACCACTTATTGTTTGCTCTGCTTTGAGACAAAAAAAAAAAAAAAAAAATACCAGCTTGCTGTCCTTAGCTGTCTCAATATCCCAGAGCAGCACTGAATTATTCACTGTTTAAATGCTTAACAGTCAAGATTATAATTAACCTATGATCTGAGCTGTAATGGTACGCGCTGCGCACATTCTGTGCCAAGAGAAGGGAAATGAGCGACCTTTAAATGGAATACGAGAAATGCGTTTGTGAAATTCTGTACCTTGTAACTAATTGGAACAGGCAAAATGCCATTTCCTGGCTGAGATTGGTGTCACGGGATGTTGTTCAAACAATTTTGTTCTACACACAGCTCTAAAGTTGAGGCATTGGTGCGTAAGAAAGATGGGAAGACGGGAATTAAGGAAGTAGCAAAAGTGAATTCTCCCGCTGAAAAATTACAGCCGTCTGTCTTTATTTTGGAAATAATAGCGGGGATAACTGAAATAGTGACAATGATCTCATAATCTGTCAGTAATCTTCCCTGCTTAGTTTTTGTGGCACCGACACGTTGCCTGTTAACACATAGCTCCCTGATTCTTTGTTGGACTGAGAATGAGCAAAAGGAATCTGTTGGGAAGCAAAATATATAAGGATTAAAGCTGGCTCCGTTGTGTTTGCTTCTTGTTAGTAGTACAGTGGACACAATTAGATTTTTCTCTGCTTTTTTGAAAGAGCTGCAGTACTCTTCTTGCTAAGTTTTGCAGGTGGGATTCTAAATCCTGTTCCTTGGAAGATCGCCTTTCTATATTTCTCCCTTATTCTAGAGGTCTGGAAATAGACTGTTAAAAAGCTTAAGTAATACAGGTAGTCCTCGACTTAACTATTCATGTAGTGACCATTTAAAGTTACAACGGCAATGAAAAAAAGTGACCTAGGACCGTTACAACCATTACAGCATCCCCATGATCATGTGATCAAAATGAGGACCCAGATTGTTGGGAGGCAATAGGCTGACTTTGTAAACCACTTAGAGAGGGCTGTAAAGCAGCGTGAAGTGGTATATAAGTCTAAGTGCTAGTGCTACTAAGAGGTAAATATGCATCTTCATGCCGATCCCACAGATCTTGTACAAAACTCTCTCCTGCAAAGCGCTGATTTCTGAAATGGACTCTGTATGATGTTCCCAAGCCTCTCAAAACTTGTCCCTTCGTGCTGTATTCTGGTTACCTTTCATTCTTCCTATTGTTGTATTATTATTATTATTATTTTTAAAAAAGTTTTTATTTATTTACAGGTACATGTCACAGGGCAAACACACGGAAGCCAGAGAGCTAATGTATTCAGGTGCCGTGCTCTTCTTCAGTCATAATCAGGTGAGACCGATTTAACACGGTGTGAAGTTGGTTCTACAAATAATCAGCATGGAGAAGTTGGGGTGGGAAGGAGAGCCTCCTCTCCAGTTTGCAGGCGGGATGCAAGATACATCTTTCCAGGGTGTGCCATCTCTGCCAGGAGCCCTTTGAAATTGGAAAACAGGCAGCCTTACTGGCCTGCTCCAGAATTATTTTCAGATAATGCACTGACCAATAAGGAAGAATATTTGTCCTTGGTGCTCTCTGAGCGTGGTGGGTTTTCTTGCAGACATTTCATTACTCAACTAGGTAATATCATCAGTGCTAGCAAGGAGTGGGGTTTGCTGTCTATTTATATTTTCCTCCTCCTCCACCACCGCCACCGCCACCACCACCACAAACTCCAATCCCTTCTAGCACTCATGATGTTACCTACTTTGGGTAATGAAAGCTATCCAATATCCAACTCGGAGAGCACCAAATGCCTTGAGCCCCAAAACAGGCCTGGCAAAGCTGCTCAGATTCTCCCCGCCTACCTGTGAACTAAAGTGTGTAGTGGGTACCTCCAGCCTTGGGGAGGCCATGGGTCACTTTCTGGGGCACAGATGCCTCAAAAATAAACTTTTGACGGAAAGTCTGGCCTCCTGGAAGCTGTTGCTTCCCCATGAGTGTGTCTGAGTCGGCGCCTGCATACAAGGCTGGTTCACACATTCCCTTTCTCCCTCTGGCTGCTCTTTCACGTGCACTTAAACATCCCTCCTGTAAGCCTAGTTTCTCTGGTGCTCTTCTGCTTTCCCCCCCCCCTCCTCTTCCCACATTGCCTTCTGCAACCCTCAGAAGTCCCAGTTCTTTAGGTGGCCTTTATATCCTGTCTTGCGGCCCTTCGCTCTAATGCAAGCAATATTTAATTTACAAACCAGAAAATATTTCCTCCCGACCTCACCAGCTTTCATTCCCCCCCCTCCCCTGATACCTATGAATTCGTTCAAATGCTTCAGCTCAGTTTGTTTTCTATTTTGTTTTAAGCAAAACAGCGCTGCTGATCTCTCCATGCTTGTTCTGGAGTCCTTGGAGAAATCAGATGCAAAAGTGACCGATGAACTATTAGGTGAGTGTTTTCTCCAGTTTTCCCTTTATTGTTCCACGCTGGAGACTTGTGATACGTTAAAACACCATCCTACCTTCCAGTTCCATTTTACTGTGGTTGGCCTATCTTCTGAAATTGTCTTCTGAAGATTAGGTCTACTTTAACCTAACAGCGGTTGGGCAGGTTCCTCTAAAACAGTGGTTCTCAACCTTTTTAATGCCGCGACCCCCAACCAGTCATAAGTCGAGGACTACTCAACTGGTGCAGCACCGTTTGCAGAATGGGACTTTTGGCAGGCTCAGCAGGGCAGAGACAGCCTGGAGAATTCCAATTGGCTTTTGAAAGCCAATAGAATTAGACTCTATTCAAGAGAGTTTATTCTATTGGCTTTCAAAAGCCAATAGAATAAAAGGGAGTAGCACAGCTAAGGAAAAGGGGGGGGGGAAATGGCGGACTGCGTTTGGCGACCTCCGTGAAATGGTCGTTCGACCCCAAATGGGGTCCCGACCCACAGGTTGAGAACCACTGCTCTAAAACAGTTGTTTCCTAATCTTGGTAAAAATTTAAGGTGAGTGGACCAACTCCCAGAATTCTTTGGTCATCATTCTGGGAGTTGCAGTCCACCCATCCTAAAGCTTCTAGTGTTGAGAAACATTTCTCTAAAGTTCCCAAACTAGCCATGACAGCAAATCGTCCTTTCACTACTTTCTCCCTGTTAGTTCTCACCACCTCCATAGCTATCATGGCTAGAAATTATGAGAAAGAGATGGTTGGCTGCTTTTCATGACTTGTCCACAGTTCTGAGGAAATATCTCTAGGGGTTTCAGAATTGTTACTAGGTGGAGCGTAATGTCTAGCCTTATCCTTTCTTCAACGCAAGCAGAAGCCGTGAGGCCTGCAGAGTAATTGACCTCGCTACCATTTTGAGAGCCAACCACTTCTTCAACCTATCTACTTGCTAAAGCTCTCAATTCCTAAGTCAAACCATTTTATCCCTGGCTTGTTGGACAGTCTGATTCAGTAAGCCTGAAGTTAATCAAGATAGTCTGAGGAGCTGTCCATCTGGAAGGCCTCTCATTTCTTTCTTTCTTCCCCTCCTCCCTCGACTGCTTATTTCAAGGAACTCGTGAACGAAAGTGAGAAAAAGTATCACCCATAAGGCATCTAATCTGGAGTTCTCTGCAGCCTGGGTACCCTTGGTAGCCTCACATCTTCTAAATTAAGGGAGGTGTCTCTCCCAGAGCTTCAGAATGTCCAGGTTAAGTCTTTGCATAAAGAATCTTTTCCTTCCATTCCTTGTTAGGAAAGGGAATGGCTCCTGATTTTGCAGCAGAGAGATCCATTCAGTGTCTCTGTCTTTAAAAAAATATATATTTTCAAGAACCTTCAAGCCAAGCGTCTGTGAGAATTGGGGACGGAAGGGCTGCTACATATTTAAAGCTTTGTCTGTTTTTTTTAAGGCCTAGTTGTCTTAAGCATTGCTTCTTGGATTTGCCTCTAGAAAACCTGGCAAAATTGTTCAGTCTGATGGATCAAAACTCACCCGAAAGAGTAGCTTTTGTGTCCAGAGCACTGAAGTGGTCCAGCGGTGGATCGGGGAAGTTGGGACATCCAAAACTACACCAGTTGTTGGCTATCACATTATGGAAAGGTGGGAATCCTGCGCTGAGCTGTTTGTTCTTCCAGGGTGCCTGTTTTATACCCTTAAGAGTTGCGCACATCAAAGGGTCTTTGGTTAGAGAACATCTACCCTGCCGCCAGGAGGCTGCTTCTAAGACCAATTTGGAGGAGCTGAGGTCCATACATCTTAAAAATTCCTTCTGAGGATATGCTGGTTGGGGAGTTTGCGGATTTGAGGTGCATGCATCTTAACATTGCTGAAAAACACTACTTTAGAAGAGGATGGGGAGAGAGCTTCAACCATCTATGACTTAAGGCTTTGCTAGCCCTAAGTCAAAAGAAGCATCCTTTATACTTACAGGAACCCCAAAATTAAAAGATAAAAGTTACATTTTCTATCGCATACTTAACCTATATTAACCTCATTCAGATTTCTTGCTTTATTTTTCCAAAGTAAAATGGCTCACCAAAGTAGTGATCTCAGCTGTAATTTGACTTTGGTTTGTCCCATAAATCAGGAGTGGCTGGGATCACACCGAAGCCGTAATTTACAAACCCCAATGGCTGCCCTCACCCAGTGCAGGAAGCCAGTTTGACTAAGAGCAAGGCGTGAACCCATCCAGACGTTGCTTTGATCATTCTGCTGAAGAAGCACCCATGCCAAGCTGACCTTTTTTTCATGTAACTTTTCTTCTAGAGCAGAACTATTGTGAATCTCGCTATCACTTCCTGCACTCTACAGATGGGGAAGGCTGCGCAAATATGTTGGTAGAATATTCCGGAGCCAAGGGATATCGCAGTGAAGTGGACATGTTTGTGGCTCAAGCTGTGTTACAGTAGGTCTTCCCTTCTACGTTGGATTTCTCAGCCAAAGCTTTTGTGTTTTATCTGCTATGACCGAATAAAGATGGGTTGGGTTGGGTTGAGTTGAGTTGAACTTTATTTGGACAAGTGTGATTCAGCACACCAGGAATTTGTCTCTGGTACATGCATTCAGTGTGCATGCAAAGCAACAGGACAATAATAGTATCAATAATCTCAATGTTAATGTTATTTATAATGATTGATTGATTGACATTAGGTATTCCCTTCAGCTTACAGTTTGCCTCTTAGTATAGTCTTTTGTTTCCGTTTGCTGATTTAAACTAAAAGATTTCAAAATAATGAATCAAGGTTATCGAGTAGGCCACAAGTTTTTTCCTGTATTTAAAAAACATCCTCTAGTTTTTGCCTACATGCTCAAAGTTTTATATATTAGAATTATGGCTCTCTTTTTTTGAGAAATGCCACTGAAAAGTATATTTGGGTTATTTTTTCCCTTCCGTGAGATAATTGTTCCATGGGAAGAATTGATGGCAACTGTGTGAAGAGATGTTGAAAGCTACTTTTCCTGGTACAGCCATAGGTAGAAATAGCTCTAGCTGCTTACTCCAATTCCAGAGTATGCACTGAACTTTTAGCATTAACCTTTAAAGCATGGCTGTCTGGGGAATTCTGGGAGTTGAATCCTCCTCCTCCACAAACCCCACTCCCTTCTAGCACTGATGATATTACCTAGCTGGGTCATGAAATGCTTAGTACAAAACAACCAAGCTCAGAGAGCACCAAGGACCCCACAATCCTCCTCCTCCTCCTCCATGCAAACCCCACTCCATTCTAGCACTGATGATGTTACCTAGTTTGATAATGAAACATCTGCAAGAAAACCACAAGCTCAAAGAGCACCCAGGAGCCCTCAGTCCTCCTCCTCCCCCCCCCCCACTTGCCTTTTTGAAAAAGCACCTTTGAGACCACAGTGACCTGGATGGTTGAAAATCTCCATAGACACTTAATAGTTTGTCGTTTCCCGTTTTAGATTCCTCTGCTTGAAAAACAAAACTAGCGCCTTGGTGGTTTTTACGACGTACACAGAGAATCACCCTTCCATAGAAAGCGGGCCGCCCTTTGTACAACCCTTGCTTAACTTTATCTGGTTTCTGCTGCTGGCCGTTGACGGGTAAGACTTTCACGAAGCTGCCGAACACCAGCTTCCTTATTTTAAACCCTTCCAGTTTCACATGAAACGTGTGTGTGTGTGTGTGTGTGTGTGTGTGTGTGTGTGTGTGTGTGTGTTGGCTGTCTCTTCTCTTTTTAGAGGAAAGCTGACCGTATTTACAGTATTGTGCGAACAATATCAGCCTTCGCTGAAACGGGATCCTATGTATAACGAAGTAAGTTATCCCAAGCAGGATTGTTTATTGTTCACATCCCCCCCCCCTTTTTTTTTTTAATTTCCCTGCCCGTGTTTTCATCAGATGGTGTGACTCCCAGCTAGTTACGCAAGAGGCACTCAAAATGGCGACACGGGTTGAAAATAGACAACTAACTAGCAGCCGTGTTTAAAAACAAGATTGTAATAAACTCTGGGAATCCCTTAGTACTGCTGATAGAATATTTGATTTGATTTACCCTACTAGGTAACATCATCAGTGCTAGAAGTGACTGAGGAGATAAATAGAGCATAAACTTCACTCTTTTCTAGCACTGATGTTATCTAGTTTAATAATGGAACATCTGCAAGAAAACAGCCATGCTTAGAGAACACCAAGGATCCCACAGTCCTCCTCCTCTCCACAAACTCTACTCCCTTCTAGCACTGATGATGTTATCTAGTTGGGTAATGAAATGTCTGCAAGAAAACAGCCAAGCTCAGAGAACACCAAGGACCCCATCTCTATTTGAACTGTTTGAAATTCTTGAAGAGGTGGGAGGCAAGGTGTTACATAGCCCATCCACCAGGGAGTAATTTAGAGGCTGGGCCTCATCCCTGAGAAACATCGCCTCTTCTGCACAGTGACCTGGATGTATCTCTGAAACCATCGCTCGGGAATCTGCTTTCTTTTTCAGCATCTGACCAGGACAAGCTAGTGAAGCTTTGTGTGCCTCCAGCTTTGTTTTGGACTCTGAAAAGTGAATCCAGATTGTCATTACCATCCCAGCAGTCCCACCTTTAAAGTCAGTCCTGCATTTACAAAGGACCTGTGCCTTGGGATCCCAGAGCAGCATTGATCCTGAAAAGTGGTCAACATCCCAGCAAACGTTAATTACAAATAGATAGTTTTATACCGTAGACAGAGCATTGTGCGAGATCAAATTTGGGTTGGTCACAGATTTACTCTTCCGAGCTTTTGGATTCATGCTGGAGCCCATCTTCGGGGAATTTCTACCGACATACGTGCTTTGTATTCCCATTGCAATGAAGAAGGACATACATTCAGTTTCGCAGCTATTAAGATTGTTGGACGGGCAGGCGCAAAAACAGCCAGGGAAATGATGGAAGCCTGGGAAATGGGTCCCTTGTCAGTCAGCAGGAGTGCTAAATTACCACCAGCCTATCACATACTTAGGAGCCGAGGGCTTGGCAGCCCAAGGAAACGACAGCCAATTGCCAGCCATCAATACACCAATCAGCCAATAAGAAGGCACCCGATAAACATGACTCGCAGAACGGCCCAAAGCACGTATTCCAGTCGGGAGAAGTTTCCTGGTGATGGGCTCCAGCACAAGTCTCAAAGCTCAGAAGGGTAAATTTCTGGTCCCAGCAACCGATTGGATCCTGCAACACTATCCAGGGACATGAATCTTCGCTTCCATTCGACCGAGCGTTGTGTCTGGCTTAGTGCAGGGTGCCTAAGACGAGCCACAAGTAACGTTTCTTTTCCCCCTGTTGTTTTCTTCAGTACCTAGACAGGATAGGACAGCTGTTCTTTGGTGTCCCCCCAAAACAAACGTCATCCTACGGAGGATTATTAGGTGAGTTGAAGATGCAGGATGAACCTTGTTGTCTCCAGTGGGGGGGGGGGGGACATCATCCTGTTTTTACCTAATGGTTTCTTATTGCCATGGGGGAGGGTGTTTCCAAATGCAAGTCTTTTGTGTGAGCTTAAATACCTCTTCCTGGATGGTTGGTACCCTCTGGGTTTCTTTTGATGACACAGTGTCATGTCAGGACCCCTGAAGGGCACCATAATAATAATAGTAGTAGTAGTAGTAGTAGTAGTAGTAGTAGTAGTAGTAATAATAATAATAATAATAATAATAATAATAATAATAATAATAATAGTAATAAAGTTGGAAGGGACCTTGGTCATCTAGTCCAACCTCCTGCTCCGGCAGGAAACCCTATACCATTTCGGACAAATGGCTGTCCAGGCTCTTCTTAAAAACTTCCAGTGTTGGAGCATTCACCGTTTCTGGAGGCAGGCTGTTCCACTGGTTAATTGTTCTCACTGTCAGGAAGTTTCTCCTTAGTTCTAGGTTGTTTCTCTCCTTGATTAGTTTCCATCCGTTGCTTCTTGTCCTGCCTTCAGGCGCTTCGGAGAATAGCTTGACTCCCTCTTCTTCTTTGGGGCAGCCCCTGAGATACTGGAAGACTGCTATCCTGTCCCCCCTCGTCCTTCTCTTCATTAAACTAGACATCCCCAATTCCAGCAACCGTTTCTCAAATGTTTTAGCCTCCAGTCCCCTAATCATCTTCTCCATGTCGGTTTCCTGCCCTTTGGAAGGAGGTTCCCCTTGAGATCCAGGTCTCCCCTCTCTCTGAGGTGGTTTAGAGCAGAAGTCCCCAGCTCCGACTGGCTGGTGGGGAATGGAAGGATTTGTATTCCTTGCAGGTCATTTGCCTTCTTTTAGAGAGTTCTTGAGGCCACCTGGAGGTTTACCTGTGTCCTCAGGGTCACCTGAGTGGTGGAAATGTGACCTAAGACACAGGTAAACCTCCAAGTGGCCTCAACGACCCTCCAAAACAGTAGTTCTCAACCTTTTTAATGCCGCGATCCCCATCCGGTCGTAAGTCGAGGACTACTCATCCGGTCGTAAGTCGAGGACTACTCAACTGGTGCAGCACCGTTTGCAGAATGGGACTTTTGGCAGGCTCAGCAGGGCAGAGACAGCCTAGACAATTCCTATTGCTTTTGAAAGCCAATAGAATTAGACTCTATTCAAGAGAGTCTATTCTATTGGCTTTCAAAAGCCAATAGAATAAAAGGGAGTAGCACAGCTAAGGAAAAGGTGGAAAAAATGGCGGACTGCGTTGTTTGGCGACCCCCGTGAAATGGTCGTTCGACCCCAAATGGGGTCCCGACCCACAGGTTGAGAACCACTGCTCCAAAAGGATGCAAACGACCAGCTGTCGGCAAGGAGTATAAACCCTTCCATTCCCCACCCTCCAACCAGAGCCGAAGAAGCTTCTTGGATGAGAAGCGAAACCTCTTCAAAGGAAAAACAAGTCCAGTTACCACGTGGAAAGAAAAACAAAAAGAAAAAAACACCTTCGCGACATCCTAAAACGAGCATCTCTAACGCTGTTGGATTCCTTCCTTGTCCTGTGATTGCATCGTAGGCAATCTTTTAAACAGCCTCATGGTAGCCGGAGAAGAGGAGGAAACAGAAGAAGAGCCGCAGGCAGACAGCAGCCCCATTGAGCTGGACTGAGACCCCCCTCCCCCCCCCCGAATCCCTCGGAACCCGACCACGTGCTCACCCGAAACCTCCAACGCCGACGACAAAAAACAAAAAAAAAGACATTGGGGACGAATCCTGCCGTCGTTCCTCCACACGTTCAAGGGCCCCCCTCTGTTATGTTTAAAAGAAGAAGGTTGCTGAGATGTTCATAATGTTTTGGTCTATATTATTTATGTAAAAACCAATGCACTGGCTGGGGTAGCCAGCAGACGCCTTGATTTTGTGGCGATCATTAGTGGACTTTCCTTAATGCCGGCAGCAGACCGATAACAGGCGCCTTCTCTATGGTTTTTCTGGGCAGGTTATTTCCCTCCTCCTCTCCCAGGCCCACGAAATAAAAACACACATTGGTTGCTTTATACACACACACACACATAATTTTTTTCCCAAGGCTACCGTTTTAATTCAGCCAGTTCGCCGATTAAGGACTTGATTGTTCAAGGGGGGGGGGAAATGGGGCAGAGTCGTTCCTGAGAATTCAGGCGATCGCTGCTCGGGAAGGCGTCCTGTAGACCTGGTGCCAAAAAACAACAACAACAATGACTTTTCTGACGAGCCAAAGAAAAATTTGCTACTCATTAGAAAAAAAACCAAGCAAGGACTACACCAAATTCATATCCATCGTAAGGGGGAAAAAAACAACGATAACATTTGAGTAATTATAACAAGGAACAGGCTGAGCAGGATTTCAGGCAAGTTAACCTTTCTTAAAAAAAAAAAAAAAATTTACTCCCACATCAAAGGAGAATGGCACTCTAAGGATGTATGAACTACAGCTAAAATCCTGTTATTTTTCTTAGAAAGATGGTTGGTTAGTCTGAACATCCAGCAATCTGCAGTCCTGCCCCCAAAACCTCTCCCTTTTGGCTGACGAAGAAAACAGGCGGATATATTAGAAACAAGAGTGATTCTTAGGTGAAGGGGATGCTGTGGACCTTTTGGTTCTTTATTTATTTTGATGGGATGATTCGTTGATACCTTTTAACACTTCGTGTACAAAGAAAGAACAAAAAAAAAAAACCCCGCTCGCCGGGCTTCGCGTAACTCTACATCCTTGTCTCCGTTAACGCACATTAACATCAGAAGTTTAACCGTACGATTACAAAAGAAAAAGACGAAAAATGGAGGAGGGGACATTTTATTTTTTCACACTTAAAAAAAAGGCTTAGATTAATACGGTGATCATGCATGAAAGGGGAATATTACATTTTTATTTACTGTAAAAAAAAGGATGAATTTGTGTTAATTGTTGAGTATAAAATAAATACTTTATACTGGATGTCTGCTGCTCTTGCCTGGGGGACCACGGCTACGCACCACGTGTATTTTTTAGGTCTCGGATGAGAGCCTTAAACCATGATTCCGCAGTTTATTTTATTTTCCGGGATAGCTGGCTTGATTTCTCCTCAGGATGGACAGATGCTCCTCGACTTAATGGCCATAATTGAGCCCAAGATTTATGTTGCTAAGTGAGACATTTGTTAAGTGAGTTTTGCCCCAAACTTTCTTGCCTCAATTGTTAAGTGCAGTTGATCTCTGCAGTTGATAAGTTAGTAACCAGGTTAAGTGAATCTGGCTTCCACATTCCAACATTTCAGGCAAATTACCTGCTGCTCAGCTCTAATCTGAATTCGTCAATTCAGCAGCCAGATTTCATTTTCCTACTTTATTTTAAAATCACTAGGTGGTGCTGAAGCTCAGATTTTTCTCTCTCAGAAACAAAAGCCTTACATCTTCAGATATAAACCCGCCCAGACTCCTAATTTGTCAACAAGAACGAAGAGATGATGCTGTGATACAATGCCTTTCCCCTCCTTATTTAGTCCTTTTTTGAGGGGGGGGGTTGTCTAAATCCGCCAGGATGAACCAAACCTCCAGCACATCTCTTGAATCTCCACGACCGAGGTGTCCTTGTACGTGGTTAGTTACCCTAATCCACTTTGTGTCAGTTGTGCAACAGGTCATGAGTCTGGAAGGGTTTAGCCAAAAAAAAAAGAATAAATGGGGCGGGGACTCCTTCGTTTCGTAAAAGCTGTCTGGATCACAGTTCAGGACCTTTTTGACTAGAGGAAGTTTTTGTTTTTAAGTCTCGGCATTTTAAAAAGGGCCCCATCACGAAGTTGGAAGATAATTGACAGCCAGCAAAGAGCACTAAGGCAGGAGAAGTGTTTTAAAAATGGCACGGAAGGCAGTTTTCTGTTTTTGCCCACAGGTATTGAAAAAACCCCATCCAGAGAGTTTCCACTCCCTACAAAGGATTCCCATTCATTTTATGCATCTGATGAAGTCTTTTCTGGTGGGGAAGAACCAAGTAGAATATAGCTATATATAGAAGCACCCTAATGTATAATGGCTATAATGCCATCCTTTCCCCAAAATACATCTTGCTAACGGGCAGAAGATCATCCAAACTTCACCCCCAGGTAGATTTTGATTTCTGCCTTTGTTCCATCTGAGAAAGACGTAGCAGCGTATCGAGATTAGATCCTGATGAAGTTCAACAGCCATGCGTGTACACCTTTCTCATTATTCACATTAAATCTACATGGCTGCGGTTAAAGTCCAGTTTTTCTAACGCCCTACACCAGGGCTGTCCAAACTTGGCAACTATCAGACTTGCAGACTTCAACTCGCAGGATTCCCCAACCAGCATTCTGGGAGTTAAAGTCCGCTAGTCTGAAAGTTGCCAAGTTTGGACAGCCTGCCTTAGGCTAGAGCGAACCACAGCAGTATGTCTCTTAAGAGGCTGTTTAGTAGGAAACGGTCAACTTTCATCCTCTTTTCTGTTAAATTAGATCTTCAAGTTTCTTTCAGCCTAGCTCCACTCGGTGTTCCCTTTTAAGATGGGGGCTGACAAGATTTCTCCATACAGTTGGCAAAAGAAGATTGCTTTAGCCACCTAACCAACCTCTGGAAGGGCCTGATGGCTTTTATCACTTGAGGTTCTCCTTACCACCTTCTAGATCTTATTTTTCACTGGAGTCGCCTGTTTTGTGAGACGGGCATCTCTATACATTGGAAAAATAAGTACACGGAAAAAAGGAAGAAAGCACCAAGAACCCCACAGTTCAACCCTAAGCTACAAATACTCTAAGAGGTTGCGACACGTTTCCTGGAGAGGGAAGGACTTGCGAAAGACGTGTGGCGAAACACTCAAAAGAGCATTGCCCGTTAAGAACTTGATCAAATCTGCTTGCTTGATCAGATGAAAATCTGGCCTTCAGACCCTAATCGTGTTTTACAGCAAGGATCTTAGCTGGCTGGGGAATTCTGGGAGTTGAAGCCCACAAGTCTTAAAAGTTGCCAAGGTTGGACCCCTCTCTTAGGGGTTTTCGATTCCTGCCAATTGGTTCAGTCAACTTAGAAGTGTGCCATGGCCCAACATCTCACAACTGAAGTACACAAAATGCACTCTTCTGTCCTCATTTACTCCTCTTGCATTAAAAGATAAAAAGAGTGCTTTCTCTGCACATAACAACTTATTTCCCAAGTTCACCTTTTAAGGAAGGTGTCCATTGCATCTCCGCATGAGCTCATTTGTATTTGACCCGCCATCTTTTGAGAAGCAATTTTTCACTGCCTACGTTCTTGGAAGCAGAGAATTTTCCATTCTAAAAATAACGCTCAGAGGTTTTAAAGATGCTCTTCCTCATTTTAACTTTTTTTTTTTAATGCTTTAAATATTGCACAATGGGAAAAACCAGAGAAACACTACATTTTTTTTTACCCTGAATTTAATCAGACACGCCTTGATCAAGCCAACAGGATAATAATTTATTGGTGTGGATGGAAGTTAGTACCACAACTGTCTTTTAACAATCAAACTTAACAAATGTACACACAAGACGAGAGAGATCTGGTCTTACAGAAACATTGGGACAGAGGAAGAAACAGGTTTAAATTGAGACTGTGTCTTAAGATGCAAAAAAAACTAGTTCTGGACTCTCCGGAATAATTTTTTTGTGCCAGACTTTAAAAAGATATGAAGGTCACAGCTGAGACTGTGAAGGAGCAAGAATTAATATAATCTTACATCCACAAGAGAGAAGATGAGAAACAAGTAGATTTCAGCCCAAGGATGAATTCCTTGCTGAGTCAGTCAGTATAAATATACAATAATACGAAGTATGGCTACAAACAGAGGGAATCTGGCTTTAGAGAAGGGAAAAGTCTGATCTGGTGGCCGGGTAGCTAAATACGATGAAAATAGAAGGGAAATAAAATCCGATAGTCGGTGAGGGTCCTCGTGCAGCAAATTCCTAAGTAGCTCCCGCTTGCCAAAATTGTAACGGGAAAAAAAAATAAATTACTTGTCTGCTGAAGCTAACAACGCTTTGAATCAAACTATGGTTTGCTTTCTAACTTGTGTCTGCTTGTGCTGGGGTTAGTTGTTAAGCTGTTTTATGAATGAACACTTTTATGGATGCCTTGTTGGAGATTGAGCAGACCTGGGTATTTTATGGCCCCCTGACCTTTTGGCTGTCGAGGTCCAGCCCACGTGAGGTCAATCCAAAATTAGAAATTAGATGTAAATGAGTGTACACCATGCACGCAACACAGCTGCTTTGCTTTTATTTTGAAGGCAACTGCTTTTTTTAAAAAAAATTATCTACACATCTTCACAGCCCGATTGGTTTGACTCTCCACAACAGTCCCCATTTTTCATGTGACTCTCTTGGGAAAATTAATTGCCCACCCCTGGGTTAAAGGGTGGTTGTTTCTAGCATGGTGTTTTCTTGGAAAAGTCACTTCTGGCATCCAAAGAAGTTTTCACCGGTGAAAACATTTCATTCAGCTCATTCATCCAACTTCACCGTGAATTGGGTTTGGGTTGTGCTAAGCTTAGCGTACGATGCAAACTGAAAAATGGCTAAGTCATTAAAGCAAGATGAAGCAAGCCATAGCTTAGTGCTTTATGTGCATTTAATCGTTGCTTTGCAAAAGTCCACTCGTGGGCTACCTCAAGGGACAATTGCAAAAGCTTCTCCTGGTTCATCATCCAGGACAGCTTAGTCATGGTGATTGGGTGACGGTACCACGAATTCTTCTGAGTGAGGATAATGCTCGTGATGTTCAACCACAGCCACCAACTTGACTTTTGGGACAGTAACTTGGATGCTCCGGCATAGAGTTGAATAAATCAAATTTTTCAGCTCCTTGCTATGTCATGCAGGCTTGTCTCATCCCCAAATGAAAGCTGGTCTTTTCCCCTTCCCAGCCCTAATGTCAATAAGGGTCTGTTCTTCAAGCATCACAAAGTGACAAGAAGCAAAACAATCTGAAGAAATGGCTAAACGCAGCCTCTCCGCATCGGACATCTTCAAGAAATACTGGGAGTCCTTGTTCCCTGATTTTGTAATTAGCAACCCTCCTGGAGAACACATCAAATAATCAGTGGAACGGCTTGCCTTCAGAAGCTGTGGGTGCCCCAATACTGGAAGCTTTCAAGAAGAGACTGTGGACAGCCATTTATCTGAAATAGTATAAGGTCTCCTGCTTGAGCAAGGATTGGACCAGAAGACCTCCAAGATCCCTTCCAACTCTGTTATTCTTTTAAGGCTGGGCTGGTGGAATAGATGTATTAGACGATGCCACAACAAATCTGACAGCAAGACGACAGTGATCCATTGTCCCAATTTCATCATGTAGAACCTTTTTTCTGGCTTCCCTCCTTTCATTCCGCCTACTCCTGCCTACTCCCAGACCAGAGTTTGAGCCTCATGAATGATACCTTCCACAGATGTTTTCTAGGTTCTGCTACCATCTCTGAATCTGCATTCTTGGCCACTGAAGAAGACACAGACCCGTTAGGAATGTGTTTTATACAAGGACGTCACCGTAATAGCTCGGCCAAGACCCAAACCGAAGAACGGAAAAGAAGGACGTTGCGTCAGGATTCTTCCAAAACGTCAGACATAATTCTCTTAACTAGTGTAACCAGGTTATCTACCCGTCGGTGTTCGAAGAGCGACATTCTGGGGAAAGTGCAGGGCTGCAGCTGCCTGTAGCTTCGGTCACCTTTGGATGGGCAGCACCACGATCCATGGCTCAAGCATTTTAATTGCACCTCCCATCCCGTGGTCTAAAATGATTCACTAATTATATAATTATTATTATTTTGGTCATTGCTAGCCTTGCAAAAAAAAACGAAAACTGAAAACGAAACCAGTGTCCTTTTGTGTTGTAAACAATCTTGCTTCAGACTGTCGCTAGGGTTTATGCTTGAAATGGGCTTCCACTGGCAAGGAGAGAAAAAAGAAAGAAATTAGATCGCCCAAGACGTTGCGGCCTCTTTACCAAATGCAGATAGTCCTCGACTTGTAACGGTTCGTTTAGTGATCATTCAAAGTGACAACAGCACTGAAAAAAAGGGACTTAGGGCCCTTTTTCACCCTTGAAGCATCCCAACATAATCCAAATTCAGGCCCTCGGCAACTGCCTCATAATTATGACGGTTGCAGCGTCCCGGGGTCATGTGATCTGCTTTTGCGACCCTCGGACTAGCAAAGTCAACGGAGAATCCGGATTCACTTAACAACCGTGTTACTAACTTAACAACTGCATTGATTCACTTAACAATTGTGGCAAGAAAGGTCATAAAATGGGGCCCAACTCACTGAACGACAGAAATGTTGGGCTCAACTGTGGTCATAAGTTGAGGACTCCCTGTAACAAGTTACTTGATAAGATTCTTTGGACTGGTTTAAAATGCATCCTGCTTAATGAGGTGGACTGGAAAAAGTTTCTATTATGTCCTAGAAGAGGCATTCCGTTAAGTGAGAGAAGAATGCGGAAGAAGCTTTTCTCTTGTAAAGTTGCAAAGGGAAAAAACGACACTGAGATAAAATGTCTTGGAATGACTTTTCTAAGACAAGACAGTGTCCACCAATTACAGTTTTGATTAAGACTTTGTCAACGTTTTATCTTAGAAGACGCCTTTCCATTGCCACTTTGCAAGAGAGAATGCCTCTTCTAAGACAGTGTCTACCAATTTCAATATTGATTAAGACTTAGTCAACATTTTATCTTAGAAGCCTCCTTCCATTGCCACTTTGCAAGAGAGAATGCCTCTTCTAAGACAATGTCTACCAAATTACAATATTGATTAAGACTTAGTCAACATTTTATCTTAGACTTAGAAGCTCCTTTCCATTGCCACTTTGCAAGACAGAATGCCTCTTCCAAGACAGTGTCTACCAAATTACAATTTTGATTAAGACTTAATCAACATGTTATCTTGGATAAAGCCTTCTTCCAGTTTTGATTAAGTCTTTGTCAACATCGTACGAGCAACGGCTCATCCCAGGGACCTAACGCTGGAGCCTCACCTGCGTATTCCTGCGGCAGCATGGGCCGATTGATCAGTTTCTGAAAAGCGGAGATCCACTCCAGCTGATCGCTTTTGGTCTCACAGGCAAAGAGAAACTTCCGGTCAGGGGTGACGATGGTGATGCCGTATGGCCAGTGATGCCCCTGGGTGGACTGTGGGAGCCCTTCCAGGACCTTGTAGCTGTTTTCTTTACTCCCAATAAAAACCTCTCCCCGGGCGAAAGCATCCTGAACGGAGGACAAAGCAGAAGGCTCTGGGTTTTCAAAGGATTGGACGGATTTAACCTTGTTTTTTCTTCTGTGTTGCTCTGGAAATTAGCAACGGAGACAAGATCTGAAGGCCAAATCAACAATCCTTCCCTAGAGCTCCATGAAAAGTCACGATAAATCTGTCTGTCTGTCTGTCTCTATATCTATCTATCTATCTATCTATCTATCTATCTATCTATCTATCTATCTCTATATATCTATCTCTCTATCTTTATCTGTATCTATATATATATTTCTATTTCTATGTCTATCTATATCTCTATATCTATCTATCTATATCTATATATCTATCTATATCTATATATCTATCTATCTATCTCTATCTATCTATCTATCTATCTATCTATCTATCTATATCTATATGTCTCTATATCTATCTATCATCTATCTATCGGCTGCCCATCTTATCACAGGGTAATTCTGGGCACCTCACAATATTAAAATGATAAAACAACATAAGTAAAACATTATAAAAATATACAGGAAAGTATATCTGTGTAAATATGCAAACTACAATAGCTAAAAGGTGGGGATTGTGGATCGTGCAATGCTAGCTGTAGATGGCATGGTTTTTAGGCTGCCTGTGACCTGAGTGTTATTTCAGGGTTTCTGCCAGAGTTTAAAAAAAAAAAAATTGATAAAGGCTGACCTAAAGAAAGAAGCTCTCGCGTTCTCTCTCTCTCTTTCTCTCTCTCTCTTCAAACCAGAACAGAGAGAGCAGAAGAATTATTTTAGAAGAAAAAGAGAGGTTTGAAGCCAACAGGATGAAATTGGCTGCAGATAGAGAGTCTTGCATCCAGACAGAGGAAAAAAGACCCAAATGCAAGATGGGGCAGATCTGTTTTGGCAAGGGGACCTGTGAAAAGGATCTGCGCCTTCTGGTACGTCAGACGTTGAACAAGAGTCAAGAATGTGAGGCAGCTGTTAAAAAGGCAGATGCTCTCGTGGAAGGAATTAAAGAACGATCTGCCCCTTTCTTCTCTGCCTCGGTCAGATGCTGCTAGGAATATGAGACCCAGCAGTAGAACTGCAGTCTGAGCAGGAGATTGAGAAACTGGAGAAGACCACCAAGATGGTGGGGTGAATGGAAACCAAGCCCGAGGAGAAAGATTCAAACAAATTGGGAAGGTTCACTTGCTGGAGACATAACTGAAGGCTGCTGGTGGTCTTTGAAGAAGCTTCATGTAGCGTAGACTGTGGATCTGTTCTCTATCAGAGCAAGAGCAGAACTCTGGAAGTTGAAATTTCTAGGAAGTAGACTCAGGTGAAATAGAAGGAGGGATTTCCTAACATTAGAAAGTCTCCTGGCTAATGTGGGCCTTCTACTAGAGATCATCCAGTAGAGTCTGGAAAGCCGAAGGATTTCAGTGGATCTTGCAAAGGGTTAGATGAGTTGTGTATCTGTGTCTGTAAGGGTGGGGGAGGAGGAGGAGGAGGAAGGAGGACGGGGAGTACAAGGACGAGAAAGGAAGAGGAAGAGGAAGTAGGAGGGCAAGGAAGAGGAGGAGAAAGAGGAAGGAGAGGGGGAGGAGGAGGAGGAGGAAGGTGGAGGAGGAGAAGATTACTTACCAAAGGATCCTTAAAATACATTAATCTTCTGTCGTCCATGGTAAACCAGCGTTTTTTGAACCCTTCTGTTTGCTAAAAGGGAAGAAGTGGAAAAGAAAACTTTATTAACAAACCAATGATGAGTTTATATAAAATACAAGGTAGATGTTTTTATTTTTAGTTTGCTTCTTAATTTATACTTTTTAATTTTTTAACATTTATTTTTAACGTCAAAGATGGTTAATTGCACGTGTGGGAACTAACTAAATTATTTTTTTTAAAAAAAAAAGACAAAGAAAATACTCAGCACTTATATTGCTTATTTGAAACTTCTTCGGACCAGATAAAGAGGAGGCGAAGGATTAAGCTCACGACTTGTGGAGCCGTAGTTTGCCAAAATAAGAGTTTATTAAAGAAATCGCAATTTGGCTGGGTTCCCAGGTTATAAAAAGCCTACAAGTATGGCTTATTTGTGTCCGTGTATTCAGGCAATACGCAGAGCTACAACCAACAGATTACAGGTTCAAATTCCAGCTACGATAACCAGGCAGTAATAATTATTCTTCCAGTTTATCTACTTTAAAAAAAAGCAGAATACAATGCTGGCCACAGAATCCTGATTCCTAAACGCAGCCACATGCATATCTTTTTTTAAAAAAAAAATTACAAGTTTCTAGTCCCTATGGCAAAGTTCTGGAAGTGTGTGGGTCACGCTTGCCTCAATCCTGACAGCTGGGGAAATGGTTTTCAGGTGTTTTCCTATTTTGAAAGAAGTAGAAATGTTGAATATTGAAATATAAGCCTAAACCCCCTGCCTTCCTTTGGAATCTCTGCCACACTCTGATATTTTAATTTCCCGTGGGATACCGAGAAAGGGCGGAGGGGACGAACTGTCTTGCAAAACCAACGCATAATTTAGATTATGCTGATTGGATTAAATTATTAGCCGTGACAGTGCCAATCCATAGAAACCTCTTTTTAATTTTTCTTTTAAAAGACAGCTCCAATTAAAACCTGACGCAAACCTTAGGCTTATTTAAATTTGTACTTAATGAATTGGTTAAGCACACAGACAGAGGGCTTGATTAAAACTCTCTTTGGCTCACAGTAACAAGAAAGTAATTAATTTCTTGGTTCACCTTAATTAGGAGAGAGAGAAAAACAGCAACTGCATAGAAAAAGGAGTAAAGTTTGCTTTCTCTTCCAGAAGCTGACCAAAGAGCACAGAATGAAATATTCTTCTGGAACTGGTGAAATCCAGGTTAAAATCCCAATTTTTCTGCTTAATCAACCCTGCAAGGTTGTTGTAAGGATCAAAAAAAATGATCCATAGATTTTGGGAAGAAGGTAACAGCTTATAATAATAAATGCAGGCACACCAATCCTCCCCAGGCATGTTATATTTCTATTCTGAATTTGGAAAGTACAATATTTATAGTTGTAATCTTGATCAAGAGTGGGGAGCACGAGACGGTCTCCTCCTCCCATCCAAAGACATTTTAGCCAGCCAAATTCTCAAATAGGTGGCATTTTTCACTCTGCTATTATGGGATGGTCTATCTATTAGGAGACATTCAGCTGTCCATCGTGCCGTTTTAGACTTTCAATAGATTTTTCGGGGTCTCCTAGCCAAAGCATACAAGCCCAATGGAAGTATTTCAACCATCTCTTTATAGTTCACAACTTAACATGCTGCAGAGCAGAACTGGCTGAAACATTCAAATGAAAACCATAAAAAAAAAACTCTTGAAATGTAATCCAGACCGCCACGATTCATGCATAACGTACTAAAGAAGTTCAGGATTTATACGTCAGGAACCATAAATTGTAAAATTGCATTTGACCTAAAAGATTAGATGAAGCTTACTTTTGGCCCAGTTTTCTCCATGTAGCCTTCCTTCAGATAATTCCTGGAAAGCTTTGGCACCAGCTAGAACATGCAAATGATAGAAGAGGAAAGGAGATCAGAAGACAGTGGGACAACCTGCCTCCAGAAGCGGGGAAAGCTCCAACACTGGAAGTTTTTAAGAAGAGACTGGACAGCCATTTGTCTGAAATGGTATAGAGTTTCCTGCCTGAGCAGGGGGTTGGACTAGAAGACCTCCAAGGTCCCTCCCAACTTTATTATTATTATAGAAATACTAGCATCAGTGCAGAAATGAAGTAGCAGGGAAAATAAAATCACATAAGCCCCCCCCCCCAAAAAATAAAATCCATCAATTGTTGCAGCAAAAGGATAAAAGAAGGAAAGCTTGCTTGTAGAGTGCAGATTTGGCACAAATAAAGAGACCTTTGGTCAGTATTTCTCAGTCTTAGGAACTTTGAGAAGTGTGGATTTCAACTCCCAGAATTCTCAGCAATGTTAGCCTGGCCTTTCTTGGGAATTCTGGGAGTTGGAAGCCCACACATCTGGCCGTTGCCAAGTTTGAGAAACACGGGTATCCATAATTCCAGAGAACAGCAAGAAGAAAGAATAAACGCTGAGCTCACATCAGTGTCGCTAGCTCCCGGGAACGCCACTTGCAAGTAATGGAATCGGGCTGCACGGATGGCGTTGAACCAGTCCACCATTTCCTGAAGAGCAAGAACAATAGTTGTATAAATAAATGTGTAATAATGCACAGTTCAGGGGCACTTTCTATGATTCTTCCTGGAGCTGTTTGGGATTGGCTTTTAAATGCAGCTCTTGCCGGTATTACTAGCTCTGATTTCCACAGGCTCCATCAGAGCCTCTACTTTCAATATGATTCTGTACAGGTTCGTTTCATTCAATGGCCGTTTGACTGCATTCCCTTTGTTAAACGGGGTTTATTTTTTATTGACTTAAAACATGTCTATAGCTGCTCATCTTATCACCAACTTTGGGCAGCTCAGTTTACAAACCGCAGCCCTGCCACCAAAGGATTGTTGCTGGTTTTAGATGTAAATTTTCTAATCTCTAATTTTCATCTACTATCTGACTGCTGGGTTTCTGCCAGCCATCTCATGCTGTGTTGCTTAAAAAAAAGATATGATAGAAATAATAGTGAGTTTCAAATTAATTTCAAGAGTTTCAGGAAGAATCTTACCCTGTGATAAGATAGGCAACCAATAAATTGGATAGATAGATGATAGATGGATGGAAGGATGGATGATAGACAGACAGAGATAGATAGATGATAGATAGATGATAAACAATGGAGAGAGAGAGAGAGAGAGAGAGAGAGAGAGAGAGAGACTGGAAGATAGATGATAGATGAGAGATAAATAGATTAGATAGATAGATAGATAGATAGATAGATAGATAGATAGATAGATAGATAGATAGATAGATGATAAATAGATAGATATAGATAGATGATTGACAGAGAGAGAGATACCGGAAGATAAATGATAGATAGATGATAGAGATAGATAGATGACAGATACAGATAAATAGACAGACAAATGATAAAGAGACATATAGAGGTATAAATACAGAGAGACAGATGATAGACGATAGATAGATATAGATAGATAAGAAGGCAAAGTGAAGGACAACACTGGGTGGACAATTGTCTTCTTGGCCATTATCTGGAGTCACCCCTGGTGTCACCACAAGTCGGAAGGGATGCACAAAGACACGCAGGCACACACACACTTCTGCTGCTCTTTTCAGCAGCATGCAAACCAACTCTGGGAGCTGCTTCCTTCCTTACTTCGGGGCCCCCACCTTGCCATCTTCATGGTAGACAAAGATATTCCTTGTGCTGTTGTCTTTCAGGTAGGTGATCTGCAGCCCGTGAGGGTTTCCAATTTTCTCGGGCTGGAAAGTGGCGTTGAGGTGCTCAATTTTCATAATCGCTTTGGGTTCTTTGGCCTGACGAGGAAAGACCACAAACAACATGTAACCCGCAACTACAGTGTTTGAGGGCTTCACTGTATCTGTGACATAACCTGGTACACAGGTACCCACTCCAGATGAAATTGGGAGAACTAATTTTGTAATCCATCAGGAATTAACATAAACCGAAGTGTCCAACCTTGGCAGCTTTAAGACCTGTGGGCTTCAACTCCCAGAATTCCCCTGCACATTTGGTAAAACCCAGAAGAAATATGGGAGATTGGTGGACAGACCCCCCAGACAGATTAAGTTGCTTCTGTTTTTAATTACAATTGACCTCAGCAATGCAGAGTCTTTCAAACTTTCCAAGAAAAGGATCATTTAAAGAGAAATTTCAGATGAAGCATTACGAGTTCTCTCTTCCTCAGACATAATGCTCTTTTGATTCCAAACGTGCATTAAACACCTGTTTGCTCTGGGTTCTGGCTCCAGATGGTCCAGAAGGAAGTCACCATCCTCGTTTCTTTGCCAACCAAGGGAAGGAGCTGAGTCATATCTATTAAGAGATGACCCAGCAGTTGTTCTTTTTTGAAATGTGAGGAGCTATCAGGACCTTGGACAGCACCAGCCATGATGCTAGCTGGGGAATTCTGGGAGTCCACATATCTAGTTACCGAGTTTGAGAAACACTGGGATAGATCTTTCCTTCTAGATGGCCTTCTGTCGGAGATGTTCCAGTGTGGTGTTTTTTGACCTTGGCAACTCTAAAATGTGTAGACTTCAGCTCCCAGGATTCTTCAGCCAGCATGCTAGCAACTGAAGTCTACACATCTTAAAGCTGCCAAATTTGATAAACTCTGCTTTGATGGATCCTGTTGAACAACTTCTCTTTCACTCAAGGTCCAACAAAGTTCTTTCATTCAAAGGAGGACCTGGCCACTCCTTCAACTTTATTTACTTTTTTTTGTTTCAAGTTTTTTATTGATTTTACAATATTACATTTACAACTTTACTAGACATTGACAATAGTTCACCTTTCGGCTCAATTCACTTGACATGCTAATCGTAAAGCCAGTTAATACTGTACAGCAAAAGACAATTGTTACATGTATACGATGGGCTGAGTCCCACAAAATCCACCAAGTTTTAGATTAGAAGATGATGATGATGACCTGGTTCACACCACGTAGTACCATAACAATTGAGTTCCACACCACAAACGAGGCTAGCATTAACCCAATCTCCTTCAGCCTAACCCAACATAGTGGGAATGCTGGTCTTCCAGGCATACAATCCTGACAGAAAACTAATGTTCTCCTCCTGTCTGAAACAGTTGTCCTCTCCCACGGAGTGTGCAACTTGGGAAGGAAGCATGGAGTGGCAAAATTGATCTGGGATATAGTAACCCAATTTGGAGGGAGGAGGTTTGAGTGATTGACGCTGTGTGAGATTGGTTTTGTTCTGGACTGGATTTAGCCTTCTTGGAGTTAGCTGGTAGGATCTGTTGATCTTTTTTTTGGCATTCCCTCAAGAGACAAACCCCTGATCCCCACTAACTCACTCCCAAGTTAGTATAAGGCCTTGTAAGTACTTAGGAGCAGAGCCTTATTCTCATGTCCTCCCAGAATATAATGTACCACATAATTAATTAAAATCTACCAATGAGAGACTGGGCAGAGTCTCCTAATTTTCCCTGCAAGGCCCATTTTTCAAAAGAGGGCCTGCTCCACCCCCAACCACTCTCATCCCTCTTACATCGTTTCTGTTATAATACTTCAGGGCTCCTTCCCGTTCTGAAAGGACAAATTTTCTGCTGAGAAACTGCCCATTGTCGCGTCCTCTCTTCCACAGATATCCTTCCCGATAGCCTACGGACAAACAGCAAGAAAAAGCAGGGATTTCTACTGAAAGCAAAATGGCTATTTTGTGAAAAAGGTGAAAACCTAAATTGTTCCTGGGTGACAGATTATCCAGAATCTCCTTGTGGAGATAAAAGGTCCAACCTCTGCTTTAGTGCGGCAAGATTCTGTCTGTAGGTGAACCAGGATAAAGACACTGCTCAGAAGGAACTCGAAGTGTCGTTCCTGGGTATCTGTTCATCTAACACAGAAATAGCTGAACGAGACCTCGGGACCTTTTTAAAATCTAGCAGAGGTTATGTGATACCAATTTTGATACTCCTGCAAAATCCAGTTGGAATGGGACATGTTCTGTCTGGACCGGTTTCTGGCATGACGTGGACCAGTGCCGGTCCACAGATCAGGGGTTGGGGACCCCTGCTTTAGAAGGAAGGGCAGATGGATCTACTTCTGGAGCCCTCGGTGCAACTGAGAAGGAAAACGAGAGTTTGTACGTTCCGTCTTGAGGCAAGGAGGAGTGAGAAATGGCAAAGTTCTCATGAGGACACCATGAAAGCTGTTGTGTGTGTTGCTCCCCAAAAAACGCCTCCTTACCCAAGAGCCCAGCTTTGCAACCGCCACGTTCCCAGCTGTACCGCTTCCACCACACACCCACTGTTTCATTAACAACAATGCTATTGTTGAGCTCTGTGTAGAATGAAGGATTGATGGGCAGGCCTGAAAGGGACTTATTTTATGCCTCTTCCTTGGCGTCCAGAAGAAAAGAGGCCCTTGTGTAGCTTTTGTGTTTTGCATCATGAGCACTAAACATCTTCTTTTCAGCTTCCACACCTCAGCCCGGATCTTCTAAAGAGTTCCATCAGCACCGTGATGTCCATGCCAGCCTCTGAGGAGAACCCATAACTCACTGCTGGAATATACTCTCCATTTTCAGAAAGCATTAATTTGAAGTCACCGGTGTCTCCAAATCCTGGAAACTCAATTTCTTCCCTTCAAATGCTAGGGATCTTCTCGCTTTTCAGATATTGTTGGACTCCAGTTCCCATTGTACCCCACCTGACACGACCCATGATTTACAGTAACGGGAGACATAACCTAATAATCTGTAGAGTAGGTGATTACCAATTTCTCACCCCTGAGTTAGAAGAATTCAGGAAAGTCCTCCTGGCCAAAATCTCTGGGAGGACCACCTACGCAAACCTGGCTTCTTCAAAAGCCACAAACCCTGGTTTAACCTACACAAACTTGGCCTCTTCAAAAGCCGTAAACCCTGGTCTGTTGATCATGACTTGTTTTGGGTGCATCCTCAAAGGCAGAGACAGGAAGGAGAACACAAACAGCCCACAGATTGTTCTGTGATTTACGAAGCCGTAGCATTTAGCTTCGTGTGTGTCCTGCTAGCACCGTTTATGTCTCCTCTCATTCATCATATTATGACTTCTGCTGCTTTGGCTGTTCTCTAGCTAACATTTTCCCCTCCTTCTCTCTCTCTCTCTCTCTCTCCCTCCTGCAAGAGTTCCTTGCTTTCCTTGTAAGGAAGGGGTGCCAGTTTCTGCACACGGTGCCAAGGCCAAGGGATCAGGAAGCAAAGAGCTTCCCTGTTGCAGCCGCAAATCGAAAGCAGGCTGGCTGCACTAATAGGAATTCCAACACTGGAAGTGTTCAAGAAGAGATTGGACAACCCCTTGTCTGAAATGGTATAGGGTTTCCTGCCCTGAACTGGGGGTTGGACTAGAAGACCTCCAAGGCCCCTTCCAACTCTGTTATTCTCTTAAGGTCTGCCCCCAAAGCACAATTTCAGCCCATTGAAATTCTGGTTAATATGCACGGCCGGAGGAAAGTCAGAAAAGATCAGCTCACGAAAGCTTATTGCCTTGTAATAAAATTTATTAGCCTTCAAAAAAAACCCCTTCCTGGTGCTTTTGTTAACGAAGTGTCATGCTCACACAAAACTAGTATTTCTCAGGCATCAGAAGACCTTGCATTTTATCTCAACAGGGTTTGTATTGGCATTTCCCCAAAGGAGCCACGATGTTATTTCTTTGTATTTATTTGTATCTTGCCTTTATTATTTTCATGAAGTACTCAAAGTGGTAATCATATCCAACACACCTGTTTTCCCCACAACAACAACAGTCTTGTGAGGTGGGTTGGGTTTGACTCAAAGGGATTGGCTCAAAGTCGCTCAGCGGCTTTCATGTCTAAGGTCAGACTAGAATTCCCAGTCTCCTGGTGACTGGCCCAAAGTCATCCAGCTGGCTTTCATGGCTAAGGCAGGACTAGAACTCACCGTCTCCTGGTGACTGGCTCAAAGTCACCCAGCTGGCTTTCATGCCAAAGGCAGGACTAGAACTCTTTGTGTCCTGGTGATTGGCCCAAAGTCACCCAACTGGCTTTCATGGCTAAGGCAGAACTCACCATCTCCTGCTTCCTAGTCTGGTGCCTTAACCAATAGACCAAATTGGTTCTCTTCACTTTTGAGTCTGACTTAAGTTTATGTTAAACATTCCCACCCTGCCTGTAGTTTATTTCCACCATACACAAAGGCCAATCTCTCAAACATTCACAGGTAGAATGAAACAAACAAAGAAACAATCAGTTTCAGAATGAACACGTGTCTTACTAATTTTAGGACAGCCCTGAGCTCAAATCAATTGTGGCTTGCTTCTGAACAAGCGGTCCACATCCTTTTTGGTCAGCTAAAAATAAATCAAATTACTCAGGTCTCTTTAGAAAGCATGAAAGGCGTACTGACTTTAGCCCTTCTTTCTTTTCTTTTCTTTTTTTTTAGGAAATCGCTGTATGCACACCTGTATGGCAAAAGCATCAAGAACCAACACAGCTGGAATACAAGCCGGACCACAAAATTAGCAGGTTGAGAAACACCGATTTAACCGGTTAAGTATGAACAAACTGACACGTAAAATCGGGGTTTGATGTAATGCTTGCTCACAATAATCAGTTTCACAGTTTTGGACCAAACACAGAACTATAGTTAAAAGTGGAAGCAAATATGCCAAAAGTTCCTCTTCCCCCCCCCCACCCCAGAGGCTTAAGTCAATAAGAACTTTGAACAGTAAATATTTGCATTTCTACTAACAAAAAACTTTCTCCATTACCTGCAGAGTAAGGCTCTTGTTTTTCAGTGTAAATGAATTCTTCCCTTTCGTATTTAGCCCTGATCCATTGTTCTCGTAACAGTCTGATGAAAAAGGAAAAAAGAAAGAAAATCTGAAAAAGGATTTATTTAAAAAGCACTGCAATGATTAATTTTTCATACAAGGCAATATCTTCCAGCAGTACAACTGCTCTCACAATTCAGCCCAAAATTTCCTTTGCTAAGCAAGGCAGTTAATTGAGTTTTGCCTCATTTTACCATCTTTCTTGCCCCTGTAGTTGTTAAGTTAGTAATATGGTTGTTAAGTAAACTTCGCTTGTCAGAAGGCCATCAAAGGGAAAATCACATGACCCCGGGACACGGCCAACCGTCATAAGTACATGTCAGCGTCTGAATGTTGATCATGTGATCAATTTAGAAATTGTTTTCAGGGAAAATATATTTCCCAGGCTGGAGGATTAGAAGTTCTGGAGATGTTTTTTTTTTTCCCAAGAAGACCAAGGATGGAGAAAGAATCAAAACAATGTCTTTGTCTCAAAGGGGAAAAAGCACCTCTGGGACATCCGTGACCTGGATGGGTGAGAATCTCCACAGACGAAACAAAGCGAACATGAGACGTGAATTGGGGCTTGGAAGAGAGAATTGCAAGCCAAACGTCAATGTGCATCAGAGCAATCAATGTGGGGACCCTGACAGATGTAGAAAACCAGGAAGAAGAGCAAAAGAGTTCAAAAATACTGCAAAAGAAGAAAGACTCTCGAGATTTTTTTTCATTCTTTTCCCATTCCACGGAACTTGCTGGTTCTATAGATCACCTAATGTAGCATTATAAACTTAATCAACGTGCGATAAATTCCATCATTCATGTTTTGCCTCCTTCGTATTTAAAACACATATTTTTTTTTCTTTTTCTACCAAATAGTTTAACCCCCGGAAGGGTTTTTCATGACAACAAATAATGCAATAGGTTACCTAAAACAAAATAAAAGAAAAAAGGGCATTTTTTTCATCAATAACATCCAAGACCTGAGAAAGTAATCTAGTTGCAATTTTATGCAAGCCACGAACGATGACTTTTTCAAGATTTCAAATTTCACTGCAGTTTTTTTTTTAAAGCACAGCCAAAAGCAGCCTTCAGGATGAAGATTATAGTCACTCTGTGTGCATGGAAGATATTTCTCCCCAAAATGCTTGAGCAAAAGGTGGATTACTTACAGGCAGTCCAAAAAAGTTGGCTTATAATAAAAGGGTGGGATTTTGGATTCATATTTAGCTTTGGAGGCATTGTTCCCTGTAGAAGCCATGAACTGCAAATAAACAGATTTAAAAAAAAACAAACAAAAAAAGTCCATTATTAATTCATTCAATTGACCAAAAGCAATCTAGACAGCATTTTTCTCCCAATTACAGACCTTTCCGATGACCTGTTTAGCTTCAGCATATAAAGCTAGTTCTCGACTTACCAGGAGAATGCCTGTTGCAAAGCAAGGCAGTTTGCTAAGTGACTCCCGCCCGATTTTACGTCTTCCTTGCCATATTTGTTAAACAAATCGCTGCAGTTATTAACTGATTTATGTAGTCCTTAAGCGAATTCGGCTTCCCCTGTTGACGTTGATTGTCAGAAGTCAGTTAGGAAGTTCTTCAAAGGTGATTCCCATGACTCTGGGACACGGCGACCGTCATAAATACGTGCCAGTGGCCAAGTGCCAGCAATTGAATCATATGATTGTGGGGGATGCTGCTACAGTTGTGAGAGGCCTGTTGTGAATCCCCTTTTTCAGTGCAGTTGCATCCAGATCTACCATCGCTACACAAGTGATTGTAAGTCGAGAAACTAACTTTAGTTGGGATCCCAAAGGTGCTTTTTCACAAGGCAACTGGACTTTTTCTTTTTTAAGAATAAGAAGAATAAGAATAGAATAGAGCTGGAAGGGACCTTGGAGGTCTTCTAGTCCAGCCTCCTGCTCAAGCAGGAGAACCTACACCGTCTCAGACAGGTGAGTGTCCAGAGATTTTCTTCTTAAAAATCTCCAGTGATGGAGCGCCCACGATTTCTGGTAGCAAGCTGTTCCACTGATTGATTGTCCTCTCTGTCAGGAAGTTTCTCCTTAAATCCAGGTTGCTTCTCTCCTTGACCAGTTTCTAACCATTGTTTCTCGTCCTTCCCTCTGGTGCTTTGGTGAACAACCTGACCCCCTCTGCCTTGTGGCAGCCCCTCAAATACTGGAACGCTGCTATCATGTCTCCCCTATTTCTTCTTTTCTTTGAAGACATTTCTCATCCAAGAATCTTCTTCAGTTCTGACTGGATGGTGGGGAATCCAGTCAGAGCTGAAGAAGCTTCTTGGGTGAGAAGCGAAATGTTTTCAAAGAAAAACAAGAAAGTCCAGTTGCCTCTTAAAAAAACACCTTTGGGACAACCAGGGCCTGGAGGACTAAGAATCTCTTATAACCCTATAGTTGGGATCACAGACAGGACCGTGAATGGTGTCTCTCACCCCGTAACATTTTGCTGCAGATCCCTTCCAATCGGTGGATCCCCCCATTACCCAACTCTCACCCAATGACTTAACTCAATGCTTCTAAGAACCGATTACCTCAATTTGCGCCGAGTCCCATTCATCCATCCGGACGGATTTCACCTTGCTGATCTGGGGGATGTTGCGATGGATCCCTGAACAATTTAAGCAAATGAACACCCCCAAAGTGTGAGACGCCCAGTCTGGATCTGCGGAGACAAACAAGCATTGGGAGAAGAAACAAGCATTGCAGTGTAAGTCGGAAGGAAAAATAAAATCGGCGCTAAGAGGAAGGAAACTTGGTGATTATGTTAGGCAGCTTTATAAAGCATCATGTAATACATGATATCATTGCTAAGTTGTCACTCAAGATGGTTCTCAGATCATAATCAGTCATTTTGATGGGTGGTTCCAACCATCCTGGTTTGATATTGCTGTTACCTGCACATCCAACAAACACAGGTAGCCCTTGACATACAGCTGTTCATTTGTAACGGCACTGAAAAAAGTGAGTTAGGACCGTTTTTCGCACTGACCACCTTTGCAGCATCCCCACGGTCATGTGATCAAAATTCAGATGCTTGGCAACTGACTAGTCCTTACGACGGTTGCAGCATCCTGAAATATCCTTTTGCGACCTTCTGACAGGCAAAGTCAATGGGGAATCCCGATCCACTTAACAACGGTGTTGTTAACTTATCAACTGCAGTGATTTTCTTAACAACAGTGACAACAAAGGTGACAAAATGGGACCAAAAAATCACTTTAAAAATGTCTCATTTAACAACTGAAATTTTGGGCTCGGGTGTGGTCGTAAATGGGGGACTACCTGTATCACACTTGAGAAAGGATGTTTTGATTCTAAATAAGAGTTTAGGAATCGTGTTATTATTATAAGAGATAGGAAGTTCCCAGGAAGTGGCAGCTGTTGGGAAATGAGATACAGGTAGATACAGTCCTTGTTTAGTGACAGCATCATTTAGTGACCACTTGCAAGTACGACGGTGATGAAAAAGTACTTTGCAACCAAACTGCACACTCAGAGCCAAGGAAAGCTGAAATCAGATCATAAGCACCGTCAAATTTTCACTTAGTGACTGCTTTGTTTAACAGCTGAATTGCCAGCCGAGTTGGAGGTCGCTAAATGAGGTTGCTTCACACGTTGCAAAAACTGAACAGCAGAAGGAGTGGGGGGACAAACATGAAGTGCCAAGTTCAATAATCAAGAGTTTTCTTCGGTCCTTCCTCACATTTCCTGGGAAAGCTAGGATAAAACCCAGGACCATTTTTTTTTTCCCCATGCCAAAAATATACCAGGTTCCCAAGCTGCACTTCCCTGAAATTAAAGCATGATCCTAGACCTCATGATTCTGTGCAAAGAATTGATTCCCCTGTGAACCGCCTAAGCTGCCATCACCAGCATAATCCTCACCAGCATAATCATCTAGTAATGTGGTTATTATATATACATCTGTGCAATACCGCTACCATCTATCCCATGTTTGTGCAGGTGTTTTGTACAGAGACAGAAAAGAGGCATATATGATTTGGCATTTCGAAAACAGACTTCATTGGCGGTTTTATTACAAAGCCGAGCAGAAAGGTGGGGGCAGCAGAGTAATCCCTACAGGCTGCATTGGGGGTTGAATTGCCCCCCCCAAAAAAAAGGGGGGGAGGAAGAGAATTCAGAACCAGCTCCCAAACTAATACCCAACCCACTTTATCTAGGGGGAAAAAAACATCTTGCCACCCCAAAAAGCCCAATGCCACCAGCTCCCTGCAAGGAGCAGGTGATGCCCCCAGCCCCATCACCTCCATTTAAGGGGACTGTGAAGTGGGGGGCGGCATTCAACCCCCCCAAGACCTCTCCCACCGGGCTGTGCAGAGGCGAGGCTGCTATTCTCACCCCACCCAGAGCGAGCCAAATAGCTCGTCAGACCCAGTTTCCCAATTTAGTGCTGGTCAAACCTCCTCTGCTTCTTCTCCCCACCCCTCGGCAGAGACCTCTGCACCCCCCCCCCAAAAAACCCCCAGCCACTCTCCCCCCGGGTGCCCAACCTAAGCCGGCATCTCCACGGCTGATCTGCACTGCAGTTGGCAGCCGGCAAGCCCCTCGCTCGGCATGGGCGATGACATCAGCATTTGCAACGTCAGTCGGAGAAAATGGGGGGGGCAGAGGGGGGCAGAGAGAGAGAATGGGGAGAGGTCCCCGAATGGGGCGGAGGGAAGGGGGGGCCAGCTCGGTTTCTCCCTCTTCCTGGGTGGGGTGGGGGGGGCAAGAAGGGGAAATGAATATGAAGCTTCCCTTTGGGGGTCCCAGGATCGTCCCTGGATTTGACAGGGGAAGGGGGAGCAAGAAGGAGAGGGGAGGGGGCTTGGAAGAGTTTCACCTGCCCAAGTCTCCCTAGCCAAGTTCCCGGGAAAGGCGCCGGGCGCCCCGACAAGCGCAAGGGGACCCCCTTATTTCCTTGCCTGCCTTGGCAACTTTGGCTGAGTTAGTCGCGGAGGGAAGAAATCCAGGGGAGGGTCTTTCTTTCTTCCCCCCCCCCACACACAATCTCCCTCCCCCAGGATCTAGGGAAGGTGGGGTCCTCTGCTTTTCTTGGGGGAAGGCAACCCACGCTTTTCACCCCGTCCCCCCCCTCTCTTTCTTTCCTTGGGGACCCCTTCCTTCCCATCGCCCTCCCCCCCCGCCGCGCCCCACGCCCGGTTCCTCTTTTTTTTCTCTCCCCTTTTCCCAGAACCAGAAGCAGCGGGTGGGGAAACTGAGGCCGACAGGGAGAGGAAGGGCTTCCCTCCCTTAAAAAAAAAAAAAAAAGCACTCCCAAACCCCTGCGCAACTGCTCGGGGGAGGGAGAGAAGACCACGCAGCCTGCCAGCCAGCCAGCCACCCCAGCCCCATCCATTCCACTTAGAGAGGAGAGAGGGGAAGCCGGGGGGGGGGTTATTCCCCCCCCTCCGCCCTTGCAGGCAAAGCGGGTCCCTGGAGGCATGCACCTGCCTGAGCCAGGGGGGGGGAGATGACGCCCCCCACCCTCCCACCCACCGGCCCCCTCCCCATCTCACTCACCGCTAGCCTGGCAGTCGGCGCATCGGTCGTTGCCCTCGCTTTGCAGCAATTCCAGCAGCGTTTTGTTCCTCTCCTTCGCCATGGCGGGCTGGGGATTTGGGGAGTCTGGGGGGGGGAGTGTCGAGTCGAGGGGGGGGGTCGAGCACCTTGGGGTCCTGGGGAAAAGGGGGGGACAGAGATCGCCTCCCTCTCCTCCGCCCTGCCCGCTTCGCCTTTGCCCTAATGGGTCTCCAGGGCGCCTCCCCGCCTTCTTAGGGGAGGGGGGCTGCTTCATTCAGAAAGACCCCCACCCTCCTGGAAGGGCCCTGGGGAGCCGAGGGGGGAGGGCCAGGCGGGGTCCCTCGGCCTCCCGCCGGCTCAGCATCCCTCGGCCGGTGCCTGGGGGGGGGGCTGTGGGGAGGGGGGAGGTTCTGCACGCCTCCAGCCCCGAAGCGGAGCCAGCCAGCAAAAGAGAAAATTAAACCAACTCCGAGACTCGCCCCCCCCCCACGCCCGCCCGGCTGGCTCTATTCGCATCTATTCGGAGTCCGGCTCGAGCGCGACCCCTGCTGGCCGCTGCGGAGATAGACAGTCGGGCGCTGCCCGCTCCAGGTGAGACCGCGGCGCGCCAGGTTGCCCAGGTCGCCCGCTGGCCGGGCTGCTGCGCCTTTTCTGCCCCGTCCTGTCTTTAGGTTGAGTCAAGCAGGGATGGGAAAGGAGGACCTGGCGCCCCCTCCCCCCCATAACCCATATGAGCCAAGCGGGTGATTAAATCAGGGTCAAAGCAAGCCATGGTTTGGTGAGGTGGGGAGCCGGGCTTAGCAATCCATCCACTGAGGTCTTAACTGAATCTTCTGGAAACCATTCTTTTTTTTTAAAAAAAAGTGCAGATATTAAAGGCGTCCTGTTTCTTTAGAACAGGACTCAGAAAGAGAGAGAGAGAGAGAGAGAGAGAGAGAGAGGTCCCACTCCTCACACCCCACCCCCACCCCCATTCCCAATTTTGCAACCTAAAAAGTACTGGCAGGAAAGGAAAGGGTGTGGGGAGGGAGAAGGAAAAAGGCAAACTGGGACTCCAAGTGAGTCCAACGATATTCAAGTTGGCATTTTCTTCTATTTTTAATGTGCCTTTCCTCCACAGAGTTTAGGACACGTGGCTCTTGTGTTTTGACCTACATTTCATACCCCCATGTCTGCAGGTTAGGTAACTTTTCCGAACCGTCTAACCTGACAGGCTTGTTCTGAAGATTAAAAAAAAGGTAAGAGTATTGTAATGCCTTAAAAGAATGTGATTTAAATTCTTCTTCTTCTTCTTCTTCTTCTTCTTCTTCTTCTTCTTCTTCTTCTTCTTCTTCTTCTTCTTCTTCTTCTTCTTCTTCTTCTTCTTCTTCTTCTTCTTCTTCTTCTTTCTTCTTTCTTCTTCTTCTTCTTTCTCCTCCTCCTCCTCCCTCCCTTCTCCCTTAACCCATCTCCCTTCCTCCTCCTCCTCCTCCTATTATTATTATTATTATTATTATTATTATTATTCTCAAAATGTTTCTGAGTGAGCTGAAATTCAACAGAACGATTCTCTCTCTCGGCAGATTCTGCAGCGTAAAAGAGCAAGTGGGCTTTTAAATGATCCCCTGTGGAACTGGACATTGGATTGACTGAACAAAATTACAATCCGCCCCCTCCCAATTGGTGAGTGGCAGAGGCCATAATAAAATTAGTCAACCGATAAAATAAAAGTGGTACACAGTTTTAGGCAGGCAAACCCTTTTACAGGCACAATGATGTCATCAGCTACCAAAGACTCTCTTAGAGACCTTTACAAATTCATGCTTGGTCCAGTAAAGGAGTTGCAGGATAGCTAAATCAATAAAAGAATTGATCTTCCCATGTTGCAGACTTATTGGAAATCCATGACATTGGACCAAGGAGGGGAACGATCAGGCAGAGAGGAAGAGAAAAGCTGAAACTGATCAAGGCTAGAGAGACCAGCGCCAGTGGCTTTTTCCTACAAGATTCTTCTCCCCGGCGTCCTCAGTTGCATCATTGTGTTTCTCCCTGAAGTGTGCCTAGCAGTCAACACAACATGATTCAAGATGAGTTCATCCTTTTTTTTCCCTCTCCAAGGAGAAAATTTATCTATTAATTTAATTAATATTAAAATTAACCCTGTTTGGTTAAGGCATCAGGCTGGAAAGTGGGAGGCTGTGAGTTCCAGTCCCGCCTTAAGCATGAAAGCTGGCTGGGTGTCCTTGGGCCAAACAGCAGGAGACTCTGAGTTCTAGTCCTGCGCACAGGCACAGAAGCCAACAGGGTGACTTTGGTCCAATCACCAGGAAGCTGTAAGTTCTAGTCCCGCCTTAGGCATGAAAACCCGTTGGTTGACTTTGGGCCAATCACCAGGAGACGGTGAGTTCTAGTCCTGCCTTAGTCATGATAGCCAGCTGGGTGATCTTGCCCCGTTCCTTTCTGTCAACCCAACCCACCTCACAGGACTGTTGTTGAGAAAATAAGAAGACAGAGGGTGTATTGGATATGTTTACTACCTGGAGTTATTCCTAAAAATAATAAAGGCAGAAATACAAATAGATAAATAAAACCTGAGCATTGCTCTTACAGAACGGAAAGGCAGGTAATGGGGTTCAATCCGTTAGGGTCTTCCATCTGGTGGGACCACAACGAAGGTCCTTCTTGGGGGGTGACCCCTTCTTTATGGAACATTGTTCCCTCAGAAGCATGCTTGGCCCCCACCCTGCTACTTTTCTGAAACGCCCCAGAAATGTGGTCTTATCAGCAGGCCTGGGAACCCCGAACAGAGATGGAGCCAATGAAGCGACCGATTCGATTGTATTCCTGCCATTGGGGGATTTGATACCATAGATTTTTTTAATGTTGTAAGCAGCCCAGAGACGCCTATTGTGAGCGTCGGGCACCCGTGTAAATTTCTTTAATAAACAAACAATAAAATGCATGAAAATAAAGACAGGTTCTCCACATACACACACGCCCCAAAACTCACAAAGCAAACCTCTTATGTCTTTCAACAAACTTTCCCCCCAATTCGGATGACACACCTGGCTAGTTGAGGGAGGCTTTTCATTTCATCCTCGTGGCTGCGCTAGAAGAAATAAAATAGAAGTTTGATTCTTTCTGTGCAAAAAAAAAAACAAAAACAAAAACCCCCAACCCAGATCAGATACGATGCTAACCCTTTTTAACTTTTCATTTGCTCCCCAAAGAGAGAGACAGCTTGAGCATCTGGATATGTTTCCTCCCCTCCTTTGATTGGATTTGATTTCATTGTGAGTTACACAATGACAATAAAGATGTTCTATTCTATTCTATTGATTGACCTAGGAGGGGGGGAGGTTAACTATTTCTCCTCATTTATTACCCAGGTTGCAGCGAAGCAGACATCCTTGCTCAAAGAGAGCTATTGTGACGCCCGGATTCTTCCCACCGTTGCAGGGGCTTTTATAGCCTGGAGCGGAATTCTCCGCATAATCTTTTAAGAAGCAGAAATGTTGTTTATTTTCCCAGGAACAATCCGAGATGGTCTGCATAGTCAGGATGCCTGGTTGGTCGGTCTGAAAAGATTCTGACCCCTCTTTCCCCCCCCCCCTCTCCTGGCAGTGGCTTCTACACCTCAACTTACAACAGTCCATTTAGTAACCATTTTTCAGTACCTTAGCACTGCCTTAGTGCCTCAGCACAGAAAAACGTTGACTTATGACCGTTTTTCACACAATTACGACCGTTGCAGGATCCCCATGGACTTGTGATCAAAATTCAGACAGTTGGAAACTGGAAACTGACTCCAGTTGCGGCGTCCTGGGGTCCTGGGACCCTTTTGCCACTTCTGACAAGCAAAGTCAATGGGTTCATTTAACAACCGGGTTACTAACTTAATAGCTGAGGCGATTCATTTAACAACTGTGGCACGAAAGGTTGTAGAATGGGGCAAAATTCACTTAAGAACCCTCTCGCTTAGCAACGGAAATTTTGTGCTGAGTTGTCGTCATAGTTTGAGAACAACCGATATTGTATATTTATCTCACAAAGGCTGTTTCTCCTAAAGGACCTCCAGACACATTCCTGCAGTTTCACTCATGGAGGTTTGTTTGATACAGGTTGTCCCCATTTAGTGACAATTGGGATCAGCAACGTGGTCATTAAGGGAATCCACACCTGTGCTTACGGTCTTCCTTCAGCTTTCCTCCATTTTGCTGAACTGTGAAGGTTATCAGTTGGCGGGAAGGTTGCAAATTCACTTTTTCATCAATGTCATCACTGTGAACAGCCACTAACCGAGTCAGTCACTAACTGAGGACTCCTGTATTCAGATACACACCCATACACATCCTGTTGCAGCCAGAACCCAACACAGTCTCACATGGGCAGAGAGAAAAAGAAGGCTAACTCTTTAATAAAAACTCAGTACAGAGTGCAGAAATCTAACAGCGTAATTTCTGATTATTGGTTTAAGTTTTTCATGTTTTAATATCAGTTTCAACACCAGTCCAAACATTCTATCCAAAAGCACTGCAATCTTCTTTTCTTTTCTTTTTTTAAGGGAAAAACTATCCCAAAACTATGGAAACAGCTGGAAGACAAACCCCACCATCATTCTTGAGGGAATTCCTACCAAGCTGTCATTTGCTGAATTTCTGTAACCTTTCCCAAGAATAACTTTCTCTTAAAACGAAACGCAAAAGAGGCAATATGCAATATGTACGACTGCAGATTCTGGGATTAAAACGGAAGGTCAGGAGGGATTTTTTTGTTGCACTGTCTCCGGTTGGTCTTCGGCTTTCTCTTCCTTTAGGTCTTTAAATCCCAGTTTTTCCAGTGGCTCTTTGGCCATCAATTCCCTTGAAGAAATCAAACAGAATTGAATAAATGGTTAGGCTTCAAAGCTGCACATTTAGCCACGATTGTTCCCACTGCTGAATAATTTAGTCTCTCTAAAAGCAATCACGCATACACACCCCAAAGGATTCTACCGAGCGCATTTGTGTGCGTGTGTGTATGATAAATTCTAGAACATGTACAGAAGCTCTTGTATATGGTACAGGACAAGAGAATGTAGCTTCCTACGAACCCCAGCATTTCCTTTTAATTAGTACATTTCTGCTTCTTCTGTAAGTAAAAATACGCCTAACATTTGGCAGGCAGTGGTTCACAAGACCAAAGAACCAAGCTTTTCTTGAAGCAACATTGCCTTTTTATATTATTACTGTTATTTATTAAATGTATATGCTGCTCAACTTAAAAGTAACTGTGGGCTGCTTGAAGGAGTAGCTTTATTCCCCGAGGGGGGAAGGTGGGGGGGGATGAAATTGCCTTCCTTTCTCGAGATTGCATAGATCAAAGATGTCTAAAGAGCTAATTTAGCCAATCCTGATCCTTGCAGACCTCCATTAACCTCACCAGTTCTCACCTCTCCATTCGGCATTCTAGATATTCTTTCGACTCCTGTCTGCACAATCCGTTCTCAAAGTGATTTGCCTGCAGACACTTCATGAATTTTTCTTTGAAAAGAGTACATTCGCCTGTAAAAAAAACAAAAAACCCTTTTTGTTTGTTTCCGTTTAGAAGAAGAAGAAAAAATACGCCTGGAATTAAGAGAACCCAAAAAGAAGAGTGTACTCCAGAGACGGGATGAGACCAGTCTGTAAAAAAGGATGCAAGTTCAAGGCAAGCCATCCAGACATTTCACAAACCATGGCTTATTTATAAATGTTCACCCCATACTATATCAAGGCTCATCCCGAGAGGCGAAGCCTTCTTTTGACTCTGCTTTGCAATGGGAAGCCCACCTTCCTGGTTTCCCTGCAACTGTTCTCATCCCTCCTAGCCAGTGCTGGCTGGGGATAATGGGAGTTGCAGTCCAATAGGCTATTGCAGGCAAACAATTGTTGAAAGTGATTTACATTAAGTGGCTGCATCCAGTTTTGGAATGGGGGAAGTCTAATTGAATTAATATGTAGGAGATGTGCAAGCTTGCTTTTTTTCAGCCATCTTTAGGCTGGGAGTTATGGAAGGGGTAGTCCTAATGCACCAGAAGGAAAATACTGGGGTCTCTCATAGCTAGGGGGGTGGGAGAGAAAAAAGAAATATCTTTCTAGTCTAAAATAGCATTTTTTGAACTTGGCCACTTCTTTGTGTACGGACGTCAACTCCCAGAATCCCCATCCAACATGGCTGACTAAGGGATTCTGGGAGTTGAAGTCACCCGGTCTTAAAGCAACTAAAACTGGGAAACCTCCTAGATTGGCGACGCTCTAGATTCGCCATCTCTATGGTGGGAGTTCTTGTCGCCGGGAGTCCAGTCTCTTGCTCGCGCATGCGCGCACTGCCCCTCCCTCACCGAAGTGATCCAAGGGGAAGGCGCCCTTGTCCGGCGGCCTCGGCTTGAAGCTTTTCGCTCCGAAAACCATGGTGGACATGGCGGAGACGGACGAACCGACGGGCCAGGCCCGCCGCCGCTGCTACGAAAGCGGTTTTCCTCCCCTACACTTCCGGAAAGAGGGAGCCCCGCCCATTTCTGGCAGCGGAGCGCCGAGCCAGGCCAGGCCAGGCCGAAGGAGGGGAGAGCCGAGCGCATCGAGCGGAACGCTTAGCCCCGCCCCTTTAGAACACTCCCTCCCTCCCCCTCCCTCTCTCCCTCACAACAACCCTGTGAGGTAAATTATTTTTTATTATTATTATTTTCTTTTTTTTCTTTATTATTATAACTTCTTTCATTGTTTTCTATAATGATTACATGCATTATTTTTCTCTTTTAATCATTTTTTTTTTTAGAAAAAAAAGAAGCGTGACCGTTATTATAAAAATGACTCTTTTCACTCTGGCTGTTTTTTTAGACATGGTTTTATAGATGACTTTCCATCGTTTTTTTCCCCTTTTCTTTGCTCCCCCCCCATTGAACTGGCCAGCTTTACCACTATGATAAGTGCAGTCAATTTTATAATCCAATCCTACGCTGAGGGGAAAATTCCATTTCTTGTAATACTTTGTTTGGCTTGATAGGGAAAAGCACCACCGGAGCCTTTGATATTGGAGGAACGGCTATAGCTATGTCATTATTATATTATTATTATTATAGCTAAGAATAATAAGACTGTTGCAGCATCCATTCATGGTCATGTGATCAAAATTCAGATGCTGGGCTACTGACTCAGGTTTATGACGGTTGCGTCCCCTTTTGCGACCTTTGACAAGCAAAGTGCAATGGGGACGCCAGCTGATTCACTTAACAATGTGGCAAGAAAGGTCATAAAAAGGGGCAAAACTCCCTTCACAACTTAGCAACAGAAATTTTGTCGTAAGTCAAGGACTATCTGTAAGTGATTTAAAATTGGTAATATTTCTTTTTCGTCTCGGTGACGTTTATGGAGAAATAATAACGAGGTACGAACTGATGCCGTTCCTAAATGGTTAAAAAGGGCATTAAGTGGCGTGACCACAAAAAAATACAATCGTCTCTTATCACCAGTCCTCTGTTTGTGCTTCAGAAAAGGACACCTGGACAGTTATATAACCACTGGCTGGAAATATGAATCTGTGTTGTTTTGTGGCAGGGAGCGTGAAAAATCGGCTTTTCTGGGATTGTGAATAAATGACTCTTCGTTGGAACGCAAACAAAACCTCTTGATCCGTCACGTGAGCTGAGCTGCTTCCAAAGGAAAATATGAAACTAGGAGAAGAAAGATTTTCCACTCTAGATGTCCAACCCAACTTTAAACTGAATATCTGAAACACGGTCCTTGGATGGTTCTCCAAAGGTGGTTGAAATGCAGTTGAACAGTTGCAAGAAGGCAAGAAACCAAATGCATTTTGGCGAGTGGAAGGGTTGAGTGACAATTCCTCTGGTGATGCAGGTAATGGATAATTTAGAGCATTGGGTTTTTGGTTTTATTTATTTATTTGTATCCCGCCTATATTGTTTTTACAAATAACTCAAGGCAACAACATAGTCAACATGCCTTCCTTTTATTTATCCCATAACAATAACCCTGTGAGGTAGGTTGGGCTGAGAGAGGGATTGGCCCGAAGTTATCAGCCAGCTTTCATGCCTAAAACGGGACTAGAACTCACCGTCTCCTGGTAATTGGCCCAAAGTCATCCAACTGGCTTTCGTGCCTTAAGTGAGACTAGAACTCACCGTCTCCTGGTGATTGGTCCAAAGTCACCCAGCCAGCTTTCATGTCTATGACAGAACTAGAACTCACCATCTCCTGGTAATTGGCCCAAAGTCATACAATTGGCTTTCATGCATTAAGTGAAACTAGAACTCACTGTCTCCAGGTGATTGCCCAAACCCAGCTGGTTTCATGCCTAAGGTGGGACTGGCAACCACTGTCTCTTGGGGACTGGCCCAAAGTCATCCAGCTGGCCTTTACAGCTAAAGCAGAACTAGAACTCACAGTCTCGTGATTTTTAGCCTGGTGTCTTAACCACTAGATCAAACTGGATCAACAGAGTGTAACCTTCCCCACCGGAGGTAAGTTCTCCAGATGTTACTTGAGTTTACTCCAACTTCCATCAGCCACACCAACAAATGGCAAGGGTTTATAGGAGCTACATCCATGGGTGGGCATGACGGAGGTCACTCAGCCCCACAGAATTGTGAGTTGTGTAAAGCCAGAGTTAAAGACACACATTGAGAAGACGGGGCAAGTGATCAGCATCAAGCAAGCCCTGACAGACTTAATCCCTAATCTTAGTAATTTGCAGAGACACGAAGGAATGTAATCTGATCTCTGGACATTAATCTGTGTTTCTGGCAATTCAGTAATGCACCAGAGGAACTCAATGAAAATGTCTGACGAATGGTATTTTTCGGGATAATCTTATGGAGGATGTTAAACTTGGGGAATCTTGGATAATTTTTGGCTAATTGTCTCCAGAATTACGAGCTTACTCACAGCCAGGAGTGAAAACTGGATGAAATCTCACCAAAAGTGAGAGATTGTAACCAATCTGTAATTTAATATGTGTGATAAGAATCTCTTTGTCTCTCTCTCTCTCTCTCTCTCTCTCTCTCTCTCTCTCTCTCTCTCTCTCTCTGTCTGTCTCTCTCTCTCTCTGTCTCTCTCTCTCTCTCTATCTCTGTGTGTGTGTGTGTGTGTGTGTGTGTGTGTGTGTGTGTGTGTGTGTGTGTGTCTTTCATCTATCGTCTATCGTCTATCATCTTTTCTTTTTTCTTCTGGCTTTTCCTTTCTTTATCACACTAGCTCTCTGATTTATTTATTCCTTACTTTAAAATATTTTTTAATCCACTCTTAGAAGTGGGTTTGCCAAAACAATTTGCCATTGGGAGAGCAGCCTTCAGCCACCATCTTTTTGCCTCCCAGCTTCTCCTTCCTTCTGTCCCTCTGCTCCATCTTTAACATTTCGTGTGTCCCTCCCCGAGCACTTTAGTTTTATTGCTATCAGGACAATAAAGCCGTCCAAGGATTTTTACAAAGTCGCATCAATTGACTGCCAGAGCTAGAAAACCTCACCGGATAAAAATCCCAGCCACGGTTACAATTAGGAGCGAGCATAGAAAAAGGGCGTGTGGAAGGTCTTTTTGATTTTTCCAGAGGCCCCCAGGCAAATATTAACCTTTGTGGTGACAGGAAAACGCCTAGAAGACAAATCCCAGCTCACAAACTTGAACACAAAAGGCCTGTGAAGAAAACCTCCCATAGTGGATGGAAAGAAGGAGAAAAGTCATTAACTTTTTCTCCCCCCCCCCCTTTTTTTTTTTCAGCTGTACACCTGCAACTTTGCTAAAGAAATTCTCATCCCACTGTTGTTTGACAGGGAAGCAATGCTTAATAGCTTTGGTTTGAGTGAGATTAATCTCCTGGCTTTTAAGCGTTGTCTTAAAAAATGGTTTACAATACACACGCCTCAGCCAGCCCACATTTTTACCGAAGCACATTAGGCTTAAAAGTAAAGCGCAAATCGCAGGAATGAAGAGCTGAGCTGTCAAGTTGTACTTGTGGTTAAGACACAAGGCACATCCTTCATCTTCTAAGCTGACCTGCCTTCAGGCAGGTATGTCGCTGACAGGTATTAATCCCTCGGGTGAGATGCAGAAGCTTTCCCATCAGCAGTGGAGGAACCAGCATCGAAAAATAAGATTTCTAAGATATTTTTTAAAAAAGCAAATTATTTTACTGTATCCAACTAAAGGGGAAAAAATTCTACCCATGTAACTTTATTCACAATGCGCTGTTATATTTTAAAAGAGGAGGAGGATTGGTGCGCTCTAAGCGGGGTTGTTTTGTACTAAGCATTTCATGACCCAACTAGGTAACGTCATCAGTGCTAGAATGGAGTGTGATTTGCAGAGAGGAGGAGGAGGAGGAGAAGAAGAAGAAAAAAAAGGAGAAAGAAGGAGAAGAGAAGGAGGAGGAGGATTGTGGGGTCTTTGGTGCTCTCTGAGCTGGGTTGTTTTGTACTAAACATTTCATGACCCAACTAGGTAACGTCATCAGTGCTAGAATGGAGTGTGATTTGCAGAGAGGAGGAGGAGAAGAAGAGGAGGAGGAGAAGAAGAAGAGGAGGAGGAGGAGAGGAAGAAGGAGGAGGAGGAGGAGGAGAAGAAGAAGAAGGAGGAGAAGGAGGAGAAGGAAGGAGGAGGAGGATTGTGGGGTCCTTGGTGCTCTCTGAACTCGGTTATTTTGTACTAAGCATTTCATGACCCAACTAGGTAACATCATCAGTGCTGGAAGAGAGTGGGGTTTGTGGGGAGGAGGAGGCATCCAACCGTGGCAACTTTAAGTCCTGTGGGTTTCAACTCCCAGAATTCCCCAGCCAGCTATGAAATCAAGAGTGCAGGGGGCTGAGCAGAGGACAATTCTGAAAACTCTTCGACGCACATGGATGGAAGAAAGCCATCACTGAGATAAAAAAAAAGAAAAGAAAACTATATTGGCTGCGCTCGACCAGAGAAGCACGTACGCCTGCGAGGCAGAAGGTCGAAGCCAAGACAAGCGTCTTCTGGAGAAGCAACCTGCGTCACTTGGGCCATTCCCACCCCTGTTCTCAGCAAGACGCGACTTTTGCACCACATAGTTTCAGCTCGCAGTGGAAAACATGCTGTCAATAGTGGGCAGAGGGCCAACCTGGGTGGGCAATGGCACACAAACCTTTGGGGAGCTGAGGTGTGTCTCAGTGCAGCAATAATCCTTTGGGATCATACATATCAAGTCAGCCTGGCATTGAAACACACACACAGAGAGAGAGACTTTGCAGTTCTGGCTTTGATTTGTCCAGAATGGTCTCCTGTCTGAGCAGGGATTGGAATAGAAGACCTGCAAGGTCCCTTCCAACTCTTGTTATTCTGTGTTCTGTATTCTGATTCTGACTTTGGCCAGGCTCCCTCTCGGCCCCTGCTCTGTGTATGTGATTCTTCCACCCATTTTTGCTAAATCCGACCCAGTCTTGTTCCAATCGAGAACAACAGAGAAATTTCCTGACAGTGAGAACAATTCATCAGTTGGAGTGGCTGGCCTCCAGATGTTGTTAGGTGCTCCTTCACTGGAGGTTTTTTTTTTTTAAAGACTGAATGATCACTTGTCTGAAATGGTATATAAGGTCTCCTGCTGGAGCAGGGGGCTGGACTAGGAGACCTCCAAGGTCCCTTCCAAGTCTGTTATTTGTTATTTGACAAATGTTCTCTGGAGGCTTTCAAGAAAAGATTAGACGACCCTTTGTCCGGGACGTTATAAGGACTCCTCTCTCAGCCATGGGGTTGGACTAGAAGACTCCAAGGTCCTTTCCATCCCTAAGATTTCCATAATTCCGTGAGAATGTATTCTCTTTTTTGCCCCTTTTAAGAGAAAAGATAATTTAGATGGAAATTTGCCCGCGCTGGGTGTGGTCTATGTTGTGTCCATTTTCATTCACCTTGCACAATACCAACCTCGTGGTTCGTTGTTCCTTCGGTAACCCCAAGATGGGACTTGGGGGAACTGCTGCCGAAGGATTCCAGACATTGAAAAATATACAAAGCCAGGAATTTGGTTGGGCTGCATTCTTTGGAGAACTGCAAGCAGGACAAATGGGGACCTGCCCTCTGCTTTCAACTCTTGACAAAACATTCCCAGTCAAGCATGGCAAAGAAATATATTCTACCTGGCTGGAGCACCTACTGCAGGGAAGTCAGAGGCCACCACCAACCTGCCAGGTGAAGAAACTCAACAGGAATATTAAGTTGAAGCGTTGGGACTTCTTTGCAGGGAAACCCACCCAGGTTTGTTGACCCAGTGCCAGGGGTCTTCAAACTTGGCAACTTTAAGACTTGTGGACTTCAACTCCCAGAATTGCTCAGTTGTCAAGTTTGAAGACCCTTGCCCAATACCATCCAGTATTTATTTTATTTTTATTTATCAGGAAAATTTATATGATCGTCCAATACCCTCACGTTGACTTGGGCAGCTTACAGAAATAAAAACCCAAATACGAAACCCCTCCACAAACACCCCCCAGGGAAAACAATCAAACCAATCATTTGATGGGCCCCCATATTTACCAGGAACGTTGGTGGAATCATGTCTTCAGGGCCTAGGGAAATAATGTCAAGATGAGAGTTTTATTTCCGCAGGGATGATGTTCCACAGGGAGGGAGCCACCACGGAGAAGGCCCTTCGCCTTGGTCCCTCTAGATCAGGAGTCTTCAAACGTGGCCCTTTTATGACTTGTGGGCTTCAACTCCCAGAATTCCTCAGCTAGCGATGCTGGGAGTTGAAGTCCACAAGTCATAAAAGGGCCAAGTTTGAAGACTCTTGCTCTAGATGGAGCTCCTTAAGAGAGGGGACTCATAACATCCTCCCCGGTCTGCTGAGTTGGGTAGATGGGAAAAGACAGTCCTTCAAATAGCCAAGTCTTGTAGGACCTTGAAGATGACCACCAACACTTATGGAAGTGTGAAACCAAGGTTAACCAGATGAAGTCCTGAAGAGGGATGGGTGGCTTACTGTCAGGGGGTCTTGGTCGTACTCAGCATTCTTGGCAGGCGGAGGCTATCATCCGAAAGATGGTTTTGGGGTTGTTGTTTTTTCAAAAGGGAACTGGAGTTGGTTTTTCCTTGAAGACGTTTCGCTTCTCATCCAAGAAGCTTCTTTGCTTTTGGGAAAAAGCACCTTTGAGGAAACCATAATCTGGATGACTTGAGAATCTCCATAGAGATTCATGGGTGCTGTTATGTTTTCCCACTCGCAGTATCTCCATGACATGAACCCATTCTGAAAAATGTCCTTTGGCTCCTGAAGTAGATCCAAAACCTGGATGGGTCCGAAACGGTAGCTTTTATGATCTCCTTACCTGCTTCAGGGATAAGGGACCCACGGGGCCGGTAACTTAAAACTGCTTTTATTCTCCAATCAGAAACTGCTTAAACCACATTCTCCAGAAGTGGTTAAAGAGGGTGGGGTTTAACAGTCTTTCTTGTTCACATGTCTGCAGCCCAGACTTATAAAGCTCAGCACTGGCGAAGGGTGAACAAACGAGGCAGCCGGTGCCCAGGTTCCTATCCGCCACACCTGGGCCAACATTTCAGTTCTCCTTTGCAAATGGCTCTGCTGAATTTCGTTTTTTCTTCCCCTGCCTCTGTCGTTCTGCTTTTTCTGCTGCTTTTGGCATCTTTCTATTGGTCGGCTCTCTTTCAAAAATCATCTTTAAAGTTGCCGCCCGGCCCTTTGCCGCTTCCCATCATCGGACACCTGCATTTGCTCGATTTTAAAAGGCAGGACAAGTCCCTGCTGAAGGTAGGAGAGAGAGAGAGAGAGAGCGAGAGAGAGAGAGAGAAGGAGGGCTGAGTTTCGGCTAACGGTTCCCTGGTGCAAATTCCAGATTTTCCCCAAGTCTTGTTAGGATGATTTTTTTTTTCTAGGATGCCTTGTTTTAAACCGATGGATTCCACAGTGCCCTGTCGGAATACAGAATATGAATTCTGTTTAGGTTTGTTCAAAGTTTGCTTGAGCTATTGGTTAAGTTGTGCGAAAAAAAACAGGTATGTGTACGTGTACGTGCGTGATTCGTATCTGCATTTCATTCAACTCTGACTTTGAACTTCCTTAGAAATGAATGCCTGGCTTGCATTCTTGGGCTTGCATCATCATCATCATCATTATTATTATTACCACCTTGATTTTCATCTTAGGAACAGTTAGGAGAGATGCAAATTCTGCTAGTAGAAATAGCAATGAATACAGCACAGCTTAACATAAATGTTGAGAATTCTTCTCTTGCACCCAAAATTTGCAATGGTGCTCCTTGCAATTCTACTGACTTTGATGGCAGCTTAGGATGGGTGTTGTAGTCTACAACTTCTGTAGGGTGCCAGAACAGGAATGGAGGGGGGTTTTTTGAGGCTGGAGTTGCAGGAGAAAATTCTCTTTTGAGCTCAGCTGGATCTATTAATGTTAGGTCGAGTGTTCCCGACTGACTCAGTCAATGTAGCCATGGGATGTGTTAATACATATTTATTAACCCAAGTGAACCTGTTTGCGCTTAAGGAGAAGGAATGGATATCATGCTTAGGAGCTGGAATCAAATAATCACAATTGTTCTAAAGTTCAGCCACTCAAGGCAGGTGGGTCACTGTAAATTACAAGCATTAGAGTATTTACTTCTGAAAGATGTTGGCGAGGGTGTGGTTTTGCAAGCATGGGGTCTGTGTGCATTACACACAGAGATACACACACACTCACGCAGACAGAGTTGGCCTTGAGCAGACCTCACCTTTAGCCCGATCCTCTAGTTTTATTAACCACAATGGGAATAAGCAAACTTGTTGGTTTGAGCACGAGGCTGGCAAATCGTTGAACCTTTAATTAGTCAGAATCTGAAAAAGCCCATTTCTGTCTCCAGTTGCCATTGGATAATAAACCTTGCAAATTTGTCTAAAATCAGGTCAAAGCATCCAAGATTCGATGAGGTCTGTCCTGATTTTTATTTTATAGACCCTCCACCCCCAAGGCAGATCTGGCTATCATAGTGTGACTGCTATTTCTTAATTTCTGAGAGTTTGTGTCCATGGCCCGGTGAGACATGGGCAGGCTCATCAAAGGGTGTCAATAAACATCTTTATTCTGGTTGGTCATTCAGTCAGCCAGCTGTTTAGACTGGATTTGACATTTTTGTCTACCTGTTGAGTCCTTCCCAAGGACCTGGGAGAGGCAGATGTGGATGTTTGATAGCATTGTAAGTCTCATTGCAGGACGTAAGCTGTTCCAAGCAAAGCTGCCTTTTTGTCAATGCAGATGATATTCAGATGGTGCTCCAGATGTTTGGGGATTGCAACCAAGGCACCTATGACTATTGGGACTACCTTTGCTTTCTTTCGCCACAGTCATTCCATTTCTATTGGCTTCTCTTTCAGCTTGCGAAAAAATACGGGCCCATCTTTACCCTCTATTTCGGGTTCAAGAAAGTGGTGGTGCTGACGGGCTATGAAGCAGTGAAGGACGCTCTTGTGAACTTCACCGAGGAATTTGTGGATAGGCCTTCCATACCTATATTTGAGCAAATTCAACATGGAAATGGTAAACCCTTGTGCGCCCCTCCCCCAAATAAAGAAAACTAAAATAAGATGTAACTTCAGAACTGGTTATCCCAATCTTATTTGCTGATGGAAATCAGCATGGCATTGCTAATCATTTGTGAACTTTTGAAAAACCTCAATAGATGAAGAATCCTGAACTTTTCTAGACAGGGTGATACGTTAGGGGGGAAACAGATAATAGGCAGATGGAATCTGTCCAGAAAGTTTGGCTGTTTCAATAACAGGACTTGGCATTGTACTTTGTTGTCTTCAATCCTCCATGTAGCTCTAGGAAATAAGCTCTTTGTGGATTTTGGTGCTTTCTGAGTTGGGTTATTTACTTGCAAACATTTTTGGAGTTTGTATGCCTAAATTTCTTATACTCCATGGGAATAGAAGGTAGCTGTAGGAGAAGAGCAGGCAGAGCCGGGGGTGGAGTTAAACATGTCATCAGCTTAGACTCCTTAAGTTGCCACAAGTGATCAAAATCCAACTACTCTTGAGTTCAATTGACCCTTATCTGGTGCCAATTGAGTATTGAACGTTAGTTGATTAAATTCTTGTCTAAAGGCTTGAATAAACCTTCTATGCTGTGACTTAATGGATGCCCCCGATCCTTTGCACTTGACAGCAATCCTAGAATATAAACCACTCTTTTTCAATCGTATCTTCTGCCTTCCCCCACAGGGGTTTTCTTCTCCACCGGAGAGCTATGGAGGACTACCCGAAGATTTACGGTGTCCGCCATGCGCAACCTTGGGATGGGGAAAAAACACATCGAGGAATGCATTACCGAAGAGCTAAGTTTTCTGATAGAGAATATTAACTCTTTTGAAGGTGAGCTCGGAAAAGGGGAGAGCAATTCCCTTGAATTGCAAAAGACCTCACAAAAGTCAATCCGTGTTCCGGGGCACAGATCACAGTCTTCTTTAACAAGAGTTATTAACACGAAAAGAATAATTAGAAGAATTTCCACAACGAAACTATTTCTTATTAAGAACTTAATTTCTGTTCTTGGATACCGTTTTCTCAAGCGTGGCAACTTTAAGATGGACAGACTTCTACTTCCAGAATTCTCCAGCCGGCATGGGAAATTCTGGGAGTTGAAGTCCACGCACCTTAAGGCTGCCGAATTGAGCGATACCAAGCTGTCAGAGCAAAGCCTTCGTAATTCTGTCTAATTGTGCTTTTATGTCAACTGGAGAATAGGTGGGGCCCTTCAGTGTTGACGGATGAGCTTCCAGGTGTCTCTTTACAAAGCAGGCCCTCAACTCCTTAACAAGCGCTGAGAATTGGCCTGTAACAGGTCATGGGATAATGGAAAAAGGTCCAGGCAGAGAAAAGTTGTATACATTTTTTCACAGTGCCCTAAAACACCAATGTTTTTGTGTTTGTTTGGGTATGTGTGCGTATGTGTGTATAGTTCTCTACCAGATTGGCAACCGCAAAATTGAACTATCCCCTTAGTGGTTATCCAGCCTGCTGAACCTCCCCTGGTGCCATTTTGCTCTGCAATCACCTATGCTTATCCACATCGCTGTGACTAATGATTTTGACCTAGCTGCAGTTTTTAAAAAACGGACTCACTCTTTTCTTCCATTATCCTTTTCTGCTTCTTCCCTCAGAAGCACCTTGCGAATAACAATGCAGCAAAAGCAATAGTTAAATAACTTTTTTTTTAAAAAAAGCAAATACCTTTTTATTCTTGTCCTCTAGCAATGCCTAAGCTGGATGAACAGATTTGAGGGAGCCTGGAAAGGTCCTGACGGGGTACACATAAACCCCAATGGACATGATTGATCCATGGGATAGATGTGACCAGAATAAGAGGCTTGGAAGGAACCTTGGAGGTCTTCTAGTCCAACCCCCTGCTCAGGCAGGAAACCCAATACCATTCCAAACAAATGGCTGTCCAGTCTCTTCTTGCACCAGTGGTGGGATTCAGGCAGTTTGCACCAGTTTGGCAGAACCGGTAACTAATTTTTTGTTGCCCAGGCCCAGAACGGACTTCTGGAAGCGGCATCCACACAAAGAACCGGTTGTTCACCTATTTTAATCCCACCATTGTCTTGCACCCACAGCTTCTGGAGGTGAGCCATTCCACTGATATTAGTGATCCTCTCTTTTTACTCTGAAGGTGAGCCTTTCAACCTGAGGACTTTCAACGCGGCTGCGACCAACATCACTTTTGTTCTGCTGTTTGGGGAACGATTTGAGTACAACAACCCGACTTTTCTCACTCTTCAGAGACTCATAGATGAAGTGATGTGTCTTCTTGGGTCCCCTGCTTTACACGTAAGCTGGCTTGCCTCTGCCACCCCTTTCTCTTTTTTCTCTCCCTTATTGTTCCTATTCATTTTGAGGGAAAATAAATTGTTTTAAAATTTGGGCATTAAAGAATATTTGGGGGAAATGGATTGAGGTGAAAGAGAATGGAGAACGTAATGGCCACGTACTAAATGGAGCGAAAGACAAAACACAAGGAATAACAGTGGGGAAAAAAGACTAGAAAAAGTTAGAAAAAATTATTAGAATGAGTTAGAATCAGCAAAAGTCTGGCATCTGCAAATTCTGGATATTAATGGTTTCCTTTGCAAAGCAGAGATTTATTTTACTCAATCTTTCTTATCCTTCTCCTTTTCCTTCCTTTGCTTCTCACTAGCTGTTCAACTTCTACCCATTCCTGGGTTTTCTCTTCACTGTGCACAAGACTTTGCTTCAGAAGATCGAAGAGGTCCGAGTGATTATCAGAGATTATATCAAGAGTAGCAGACAAGATCTCAACGGCAATTGCTTCAGGAGCTACACAGAAGCTTTAGTCTTCAAGCAGCAACAGGTATGCCCAGCACAAGTAACAAAGCTAAGAAACAGGGTGTGGGCATCTGGGTGCCATTCAAAAAATGAAGATGGCAGCCACATGATGTGCATCACCCATAGTAACCATGGTGACTACCATCTTAGCTTTGTTAATATCAGACCTCTTTGTTGGAACTAGGAATGTCTAGGCCAGGGATAGGCAATCTTGTCTCTTTTATGACTCGTGGACTTCAACTCCCAGAATTCCTGAGCCAGCCATGCTGAGGGGAAAGGGAGAGATTTCCAAGCTGAGCCATGCTGGCTCAGGAATTCTGAGAGTTGAAGTCCACGAGTCAAGAGCCAAGGTGGCCTACCCCTGGGCTAGGCTAACAAAAGAAGGATTAAGGGGGACATGATAGAAGTCTTGCAATATTTGTCATGGAGAAGAAGGAGTCAAGCTATTCTCCAAAGCCCCCAGAGGCAGGACAAGAAGCAACAGAGAGAAACATATCAAGGAGAAAAGCAACCTAGAACTAAAGAGAAATTTCCTGACAGTGAGAATAATTAATCAGGCGAAGGATTTGCCTCCAGAAGTTGTGGGTGGAGCAGAGGTTTTGTGCCCATAACATCCCTCATGTCCCCTCCTTGTCCTCTCACCCCCTACCTTGTGCCCTTTCCTAGGACATGAACAAAAGGCAGAACCTCTTCCACGAAGATAATTTAATTGCGTCCATTCTGGATCTCGTCATGGCTGGGACAGAGACCACCGCCACAACTCTGCAGTGGGCTGTCTTGCTGGCCATGAGGTATCCGGAGATGCAAAGTGAGTTGTTGTTTTCTGTTGATGTTGTAGTTTCCACCCTTCTGCTACGCATAGGTGTCAGGGTTGTGTGCTCCAGGTGGGCTGCATTCACAAAGTCCATGCTTTCAATTCTTCAGGGTTCGTTTCGGTCAAAAGAGGAGCCGTAAATGAAACTTCAAAAGACAGACAAAACTCAAGTGGAAAAGAAAGTTTCACGGAGAAATTAGAGGAGGTTGTCTAGCTGCAAATTTAGTGGAAGAGAATGGATTGAAACAAGCAAGCAAAAAAAGGGAGGGATGGAGGGAAAGGGAAGGAGAAGGAAGGGAAAGGAAGGGAAAAGGATGAGGAAAGGAAAGGAAAGGAAAGATGGGATGGTAAAAGACAGCAACCAGCAAACTGGCTTTAATAAGAACTTAACCAGGTAACACCAATATATGAACCAGAACATCTTTGCATGTGAGAAGTGTCATTTCTAGAAGTTTTGCAAGACATTTCACAGCTCCAGACCCCTGTATAACCCCCCCCTTCTAAATTAAGAAAAACGCTTAGAACAAAACATGCATTATATCATTCTCTTGCCTGTTAATGAACAAAACAAGCAAAACAAGAGTACAGAGAGATATTAAAATAGGGGTGCTCAGAATTTAAAAAAAGACCAACCATGTAGAAACGGGCTGGAATGAAGTCTGGATGATGGAGGACAAGGAGGAACAGTGTGAAATTTAAATGGATAGATTTGTTTTGCCCGGCCTGAACAGTGTTTGGTTTCCCTTTCTGGCTGGGCTGGCTTCAGAGAAGGTCCAGGAGGAGATCGGGCGAGTGGTGAAGCCGGGTCATTGGGTCACTTACGAAGACCGGCGCCACATGCCTTTCACCAACGCGGTGATCCATGAGGTCCAGCGTTTCATCACCCTCCTGCCACACGTCCCTCGAAGCACCTCCGTGGACACCCACTTCAGAGGCTACTTCCTCCCCAAGGTAACTGCCCCCAAATGTACAGGGAGCCCTCGACTTACGACCAAAACCTCCGTGGCTAAGCGAGACATTTGTTAAGAGATTTTTGATCATGTGACCGTGGGAAAGCTGCAATGGTCGTAAGTGTGAAAAATAGTCCTAAGTGCCTTTTTTTTTCAGTTGTGTTGTAGCCTTGAACAGTCACTAAACAAACTCTTGTAAGTTAAGGATTTACTCCTGGCCCTGGATCTGAGGCTGCTAAAATTAATAGCAATAGCAGTGAGTCTTATGTACCGCTTCACAGTGCTTTACAGCCCTCTCTAAGCGGTTTACAGAGTCAGCCCCCAACAATCTGGGTCCTCATTTTATTGACCTCGGAAGGAGGAGGGAAGGCCGAGTCAACCCTGAGCCGGTCAGGATCGAACTCCTGGCAGTGGGCAGTGAATTAGCCTGCGACACTGCATTCTAACCCCTGCGCCACCAGGGCTCTTAATTAATCCAGTTTGATGGAAGAAGGTTTACCTAACTTTCCCCAGTCTGGATTCTTCAAAACAGATGGATTCCCCACATGATCCCGACTAAGAGATTTATAGTGTTTGTGCCTATGATTCAGTCTTGACTCCAGCCAGGTGACCCCCTGCTCAGTAGGTGAAAAAATGAGAGACATCGGATAGGCTCTTGTTCTGATCTTCTCCTTCCTGTTCTCCAGGGGACCATGGTCATCCCATCGCTGACCTCAGTCCTGCTTGACCAGAGCCAGTGGGAAACCCCCCACGAATTCAACCCCAACCACTTCCTTGACCCCAGTGGGAATTTCGTCAAGAAAGACGCCTTTGTGCCCTATTCTTTAGGTAATCTTCTTGGAGTCTTTGAGCTTTGGGGGTCCAATAACTGCTGTGAAGGGAACCTCTTACCCCCAGCAGCTTTTCCTGCAAGGGTTGTGTTGCCAAGAGTTGCATGTTGGGAAACTCTTCAGGACATCTTTTCCCAGATTGTAAGTTCCTCCTCCTCCTCCTCCTCCTCCTCCTCCTCCTCCTCCTCCTCCTCCTCCTCCTCCTCCTCTTCCTCCTCCTCCTCCTCCTCCTCCTTCTTCTTCTCCTTCTCCTTCTCCTTCTCCTTCCTCCTCCTCCTTCCTCCTCCTCCTTCCTCCTCCTCCTTCTTCCTTCTTCTTCTCTGCCTCTTTCTATTCTCCTCCTTCTCCCTCTCCCTCTCCTCCTCCTCTTCCTTCTCCTTTTCCCCCTCCTCCTCCTCCTCCTCCTCCTTCTTCCTTTTTCCTTCTCCCCCCTTCCTCTCCCTCTCCCTCTCCTCCTCCTTCATATCCTTCCACTCCCTCTTTTTTTTCATAGGACGCAGGAACTGCATCGGCGAAAGTCTGGCCAAAATGGAGCTCTTCCTCTTCTTCACGGGCCTCCTGCAGAAATTCACTTTCCGGCCTCCGCCTGGGCTTACAGAAACGGACTTGGACCTGGAAGTCCCTAAGACGACGTTCACCCTAAGACCACAGCCGCAGCTGACGTGGGCCGTTCTCCGTGAGTGAAGAAAACGTGGCACGAGACGCAGGTGGGAAAGAAGGGGAAAAGACACTCCTATACAGACCATACACTCTCTGTTTGTGTGTGTACATAATCTGTATCTCTACATGTAGACTATATAGGTCTTAAGACAGGGTTTCTCAATCTTGGCAGCTTTAAAAGCCTCCCTGCACATGTGCTGGCTGGGGAATTCTGGGAGTTGAAGTTCACACATCTTAAACTTGCCAAGACTGAGAAATGTAGCATAGCATAGCTTGCTAATTCCATAGCAAGCTAGATTTAACATTAAGCTAGACTCCAAAAGAGAAAGAGAGTGGAAAAAAAATAGATATAAAAAAAACCCCAAATCCTTGGGGGCAAAATGATGTTTAACTTCCCATATATATTCATGGATAAGCAAATAAGTTGACCCTCCAATCTTTCACCAAACTATCATGAAGGATGAGACTGACCTTGTGAACTTCTAGGAAGCTTTTACCTTAGGAGGGGAGAAGATTTACTGGTTTTAATCGAAACAGGCTGTTCTTATCATTGCAGCCTTTTTCTATTCTTCAGTATCTGACTGACAGTCTCGACTGCCTCTCCATGGCTGGTCTGCATCATAGCAAACCCTTTTTTTTTTTTTTTTTGCAATTTTGCTTGACTTTTAGAGGCTAGCTCATCCTTGCATTGCCTATTCTCCATCTGAAACACAGCGTTTCAAAACCAAAAGTGAGGCTTTTCATGAGAAGCATGCACATCGTTTTTTGTCGTGTTTGTATAAGCCTGGCAACCTTTAAAATCAATTTATATATCTCTCCACCTAAGTTCTTGTTCCTGATTTTGCTTTCTGCTTTCTGACTGCAGGGAGCACATGGCAGGTGCCACAGAGGTGAGAAAGCACCAGCAATGCTCTAGTCAGGATGGGAAGAATTGTTATGTGTGATATCATGCGATGCAAAGTTAGAACAATTAACCAGTGGAACCAACGGCTTGCCTCCAGAAGCTGTGGATGCTCCATCACTGGAGCTTTTGAAGAAGAAATTGGACAAACATTTGTCCGAAATGATGTAGGGTTTCCTGCTTGAGCAGGGGGTTGGACTAGAAGACCTCCAAGGCTCCTTCCGACTTTGTTAAGCTTAGGCAACTCTGCTTTCAGAGCCTTTTCATGGCTGATGCCTCACCAGCTTAAAAGCCAAGAAAATCCAAAGGGCAGGCTGTAAAATGGATAGATAAATATTTGTTGAAAAAAAGTGACCAAAACAAGAGCTGGAAAGGAATGATATAGAATTGTAAAAGATAAGGATCAAAAGAGACAGTAGAGATCATTTTAAGCAAACATCCACCACCCCCCCCTCGCTCAGGATCGCAATTGCTGTTACCGAAAGCTAGATGGATAACCTGATTGATGGCCCCTCAATTTTTCTTTATTATCTCCAGTGAAAGAGAATACACCACTTCCAGAAGTTTACTCCATGGTTGAAGACTTCTTACCATGAAAAAATGTTGGCTGATGTCCAGCAGAAATCTTCATCCTTGTAATTTGAGCTCTTTCTTTCTTGTGCTCCGTTTTAGAGAAGATACTTGCACCATCTCCCAAGTCAATCAAGCTTCCATCAGAATAGAGCTGGAAGGGACCTTGGAGGTCTTCTAGTCCAGCCCCCTGCTCAAGCAGTAGACCCTATCCCATTTCAGACAAATTGTCTGTCCAATCTCTTCTTCAAAACTTCCAGTGATGGAGCACCCACAACTTCTGGAGGCAAGCTGTTCCACTGGTTAATTGTTATCACTGTTAGGAAGTTTCTTTTTCATTCCAGGTTGCTTCTCTCCTAGATTAGTTTCCAGAAAGGAAAGAAAGTGTTTTTTTTTTAACTTTTCCCTCCTGCATAGATGCAGGTAAATATGCTCCTGGACTTACTAGGGGCAGGGGGAATAGACAGGAGGAACAGTTACTCCCAGGGCAGTGGTCAGATAAGCAGGGCTTGAACCCAGAAACTAATTTGAGAAACTATTTCAGATGACTCCTTCCCTGGTTCATCCCAGGATAAAAAGATGGAAAGGAAGGACATTCAGACTTGGAAATGTTTTCAACTCAATCCAATAAAACTCATCCTGACCTACAGATCGTTGGTTTCTCAGTCTGGTCTACCTAGTAGGGTTGACTCTAGGCAGCGCCATTACACATTATTAGAGCATGTTTTTCACCCTTAGCCATTTGAAGACGTGTGGACTTCAACTCCCAGAATTCCCCAGTCAGCCTTTCTTGACTGCTTCTGCAAGGACGGATTACCTAACCCCTGCCTCTTGTCCCAGAATGTCTTGGTGTGAACCTAAAAGTTAGACTAGTGGGATCTGAGGCCTGATCCAGTCCTTGGGGACTTCTTACCTTCTTCAGAATCCATGACAAACTTTTCTCATTGAACTTATGAACTTAATTCTTGTCTTCCAAGGGACCGTCCCTGATTGACCAGTGCAGTCAGAACAACCCCAAGCAAGCCATATATATATATATATAATTTTCTTTTAAACATTCCGAAATGTCTTTCTATCAGTAACAGAGCCTAATTCTTGTAAATGACTTTGGGAACTGGAACAAGAGTTGAAAACAGATTTTTGCCGCCTCCTCTTCTCCTTCTCCTGCTTCTTCTTCTCCTCCTCCTCCTCCCCCTCCTCCCTCTCCCCCCTTCTCCTCCTCCTCCTCCTTCTCTTTTTCTTCTCCTCCTCCTCCTCCTCCTCCTCCTCCTCCTCCTCCTCCTCCTCCTCTTCTTCTTCTTCTTCTTCTTCTTCTTCTTCTTCTTCTCCCCTTCCCCTCCCCCTCCCCCTCCCCCTCCTTCCCCTCTCCTCCTCCTCTTCCTCCTCCTCCTCCTCCTCCTCCTCCTCCTCCTCCTCCTCCTTCTTCTTCTCATATTGAAGTTCAGCCACAGGAATTTCCGTTCCGGCCTCCCCTGGAGGACCATCTCAATACTCTGGGGGTTTCAGATGACAATTTTTAGAGTCCCTGGCTTCCCTGACACGGCTGGTTGCCTTCCTTGGTTGAATCAGAAAATGCTCGGTCTTTCTCATGCTAAGATTTTGGATCTCAGCAAGTGCTTGGGAGGAAGTGGGCTGGGCTGGTAGTGGATTGTCCCCGAGAACATTCTACTGTCTGAGATGAAATACCCGGGACAACACCCCTGCAGCTTTGGGGACCACACCTGAAATGACCACTGCTGGACTTGCAACTGGCAAACACACAGGGCTTGGAAATTTGCAAAAAAGGACGGATTGCTCCTGAGTTACTTTAGCAACGCTGAGGACACCGGTTGTGTTTCCAACGGTCGATTCTTTCTTCAGCCCAAGATCCTAAGCAGCCTTCTTCACGTTAAGATTTGTGGACTTCAGCTCCCAGAATTCCCTGCACCGGACCACTGCACTAGAGCCTGTAAACATTTAGACCCTTAATCTGAATGGGCACTTCTATTGATGGAGTGTCCTTCTCAAGTGCCGTGCAACAAAAGTAATATTCCGTGCCATGGAGTCTGGTTTGGTACTAAGTAGCTTCCTGTAGTCTTGGTTGAATCAGGCTTTGGTTTAGGATGGGGGAGATTGGAAACTTCACATTTACCTGTAAGGAGAACCTACAGCTTAATCAGAGGGTGCCTGTTTTATAGATGGGTCTCCAACATCTCCAGGTAAGGCTGGAGAAGCCACCCATTGGTCTCCTGGAGAGCTACTGTCCATCAGTACAGCTAACATAGAGCTAGTTGAACTGAGATGTGCAACACGCAAACTCAAGCACTAACCAGAAGTCTGTTTCGTTTCGGCTTAGGGCAGTATCTAAATTCAACGGTTCTATAGTCTATATTCTTTTTTTTAATGTTTTATTGATTTTCTAATTTTACATTTAAGTATTTAAAAAGCAATATGGCGGCTGAGTTAATTGAAAATTCAATGACATACAAACATCTTTAGCGCAAGTCTCAAACTACCACATTAAATATTTCCTCTCTCTTCCCCTTAGCATTTACTGTCTCATATTCAAACTAATACAATTCTTATTATATCAATTAAATAAAAATAACATTCTTACATTTATCAATCATTTTTAGCTTATACATATCCTGGTTATTTTAACATTCAGTCCTTATAGACAATCAATGTCCTAATTAGTTTTTCCCAATTTTTAGTTTGCCATTAATATTTAAACTTAGCATTTAGTATTGATAATTTCCAAGTTTTAAGTGACCAAAAGTTCCCTTTATCCCAATTCATCACAAAAGTCTAATATTCAGAATATTCTATATTCTATATCCATGCCTCATTGGATGAATCAAGCTACAATAGCTTAGTCCACAACTCTTTAGTTAAAACAACGCAAGGTTTAGACCCAGGTAGGAAACAGCTGCTTTGCAATCTTCTGTACTATGGTTAGCAAGAAGCACTTCTAGAATTTGCTTCTTTATGCAGGGTGAGGGGAACCCCAATGAGGTGCTTAACAATCTTTGGCTGTGAACCCATCAAGGATCCCAGCCCAGCTGCCCAGCAAAACCTCTCTTCTTTCAGAATGTATGGGTGAAACCTGATTTTGTAAGCAACAATTGGAGAATAGGACAAATGACTTCTCCAATGACGCAGAATTAGTTTCTCTCTGTCTGAGCGTCTTAACCCCATTTATGCAATGAAAGAAACCGGACGATCAACACGAAGGATATTCTACGGTGGAAGAAAAGGGGCTAGTCTTGGAGAAATTGACGCCGATGCCAAAAATACGCTTTTAAATGAAATGGGACAATCCGTACTCCTAGATGAACTACTTATTCTCCATAAAAAGGGGGACAGGATGCACGTTAGAAGTAGAGTAGGGAGTGGGTCCTTGACAAGTTGCATTTTTGTTTGCCATTCTGTGTCGTTTTTAATTCTTTTTGCTAAGCAATAAGTGGCTAGGAGAGCGGGCGGCTGTATGAAACAAAAAAAACCCCACAAATGAATAAAGAGCACGGCCATCCTTTGCGTAGAATTTGAACGGGTGTGTTGGAGAAAGGAGTGCTTATGCACAACCATTTTTTAAAAAAAAATAATAACAAACTGCATTTTTCCTCTGCTGTTTCTCATTCAGCCCCCAAGAGCAGGGATTGGCATTGACAAACGTGTTCCCAAGAAGACAATCTCGGTTGTCTTTCTGGAGTGAAGTCCTCGACTTTTGGAGGCCAAAATTTCCGTTGCTAAGTGAAACAAGGGTTCAGTGAATTTGGTCCCATTTTACAGCCTTTCTCACCACCGTTGTTAAGTGAATCTTCTCCCCCCCCCCATTGACTTTGCTTGTCAGAAGATCGCAAAAGGGGATCACGTGAGGCTACCAAACCGCAACCGTTATAAATATGAGTCAGTGGCCAGGCGCCTGAATTTCGATTATGGGGATGCTGCAACGGTCATAAAGTGTGAAAAATGGTCATAAGTCACTTTTTTCAGGCCTGTTGTCACTTTGGTCACTAAACAGATGCTTGTAAAGTGAGGACCACCTATATTCAAACTATTGTCAAGAGAAGCTTCTTGAGGAGTCAGGACCAGGAGAAAAGTCTCCTGCCTCATTAAAGAAGCAAACTTTTTTTAAAAAAGGGAAACTGTTTTGCAAATCAAGGCATTGAACATTCGGTAAAATTGCAACGCTGACTCATTGGGAGCAATCATTTGTTTAAAATGTTTGTTCCAGTAACAAAGGAGCCCAGACGTATTTATGATTTTTTTAAATGAAAAACTTTGTTTTTAAAGAAAAACCTGGCAGAGGATCAAGCGCTTTCAAAGAGGCGGTGGCTTCTTCATTTCTCTCCAGAAAAGGGAAAAGCTCCTTCCAAAATTATTCTGCTTTTTCGCCTATTAATGCCTTGCCAAAAAACAAAAGTCAAAAGAAATATATATATAGAGAGAGAGGGAGAGAGACTTCCTTCAGAACATGTTTTTGTTTGACATGCAAATCGGAGCCAGTGAAATCAAAACTAGCCCAGGTTTTCTTTAAATGAGGAACAGCTTGTGTGACCACATAAATCAGAAAAAAAAGACGTGAATCACCGCAACTTCAGAGGAAAAAAGGAGGAGGGATTTAGCGATTCAGGTTTAAAAAATAATAATTATAGAACATACGGCGTCAAAAGGGCCAACAAGAATTCCTTCTCCTCCCCAATTACAAGTAGTCTCGACTTAACTGCAATTGAACCCAAAATTTATGTTGTTAAGTGAGACATTTGTTCAGTGAGTTTTGCCCCATTTGACGACCTTTCTCGCCACAGTCAAATGAATTTGGCTTCCCCCATTGACTGCTTGTCAGAAGGTCACAAAAGGGGATAACACAAGCTGGGAACGCTGCAACCCGTCATAAATATGAGTCAGTTGCCAAGCATCTGAAATATGATCCCGTGATCATGGGGACGCTGCATTTGAATATAAGTGGTTGTATTTCCTTTTTTTTTTTGGGTTCGGTTGTAACTTTGTGCAGTTGCTAAAGGAATAATTGTTAAGTCGAGGAATGCCTGTAGCTGGTCTACAGATGTAAAATGTTGCTGTTATGGGAGATATTTGCTGTAAAACTCCTTCAATTGAGTGATCCTGAAAAAATGTTAGGCAGGATATAACACGGTTAACACTTGCAAGGCTGAGAGGGGTAGGGTAGACTAGGAAATCCAAAAAGCATCCTAGAATAAGACCAGAATGAAGCATTTCTGCACTGTGGGCAAGGAACTGTCCTAAAAGAGGTCACCAGGAGGACTTAACGTGATTCATTTCGAAAAAGCCGTGTCTGAATCTCACCCTGATCCTGAAGTTCTTCTACCCTGAATTTTTACGAGCAGCACCCGATCTATGCCTGCTACGTATCTTGGGTTTTAGCGATCCCATCCTCCCCAGCCATGGCGATGGTGGCCAGGAGAAGGCAAGAAGAAGGCCAGCCTTGCTTGGGGAAGGTTCGTGGCTGCCCCAGATCTCAGCTTGTTGACGGCGAGAAGCTGGAGAAACAACCCCTGACCACCTTGTGCCGAAAACAAATCTGCTACTTTCAAGTACCAGCAAAGTTACGAACTTCAAAACAGAGAAAAATGACTCTTCTCCCAGCCCCTCCTGGAGCAGATGATACTTTCACAACCCCCAGGGTGAGTCCTCCTCTCCGTTGCCCCATGGCCAGGAATACATTCAGTCTTCGACTTAACGACAGTTCGTTTAGGGACCGTTCAAAGTTACAACGGCACTGAAAAAAAAGGGACTTTGGGATGTTTTCTAGCTTTGTGTGTCAACAGCTTTGAGCTGGAATTCACCCCGGGATCTGTTTTTCACATTTACGACCGTTGTAGCATCCCCAGGATCACGTGATCAAAATTCAGAGGCTCGGTAACTGGTTTATATGTGTCCCGGGGTCATGTAACCCCCTCCCCCTTTTGTGACCTCCTGGCAAGCAAAGGCAGGTTGTTCCACTGGTTAATTGTTCTCACTGTCAGGAAGTTTCTCCTTAGTTCTAGGTTGCTTCTCTCCTTGATTAGTTTCCATCCATTGCTTCTCCAAAGTGCCTGAAGGCAGGAGAAGAAGCAACGGATGGAAAGTGATCAAGGAGAGAAGCAACCTAGAACTAAGGAGAAACTTCCTGACAGTTAGAACAATTAACCAATGGAACTGCCTCCAGAAGTGGTGAATGCTCCAATCCTAGAAGTTTTTAAGAAGAGACTGGACAGCCACTTGTCTGAAATGGTATAGGGTTTCCTGCCTGAGCTGGGGGTTGGACTAGATGACCTCCAAAGTCCCTTCCAACATCATCATCATTATTATTATTATTAAAGTCAATGGGAGAAGCCAGATTCACTTTACAACTGGGTTACTAACTCAGCTCCTGTGGTGATTCCCTCAACAGCTGGGGCAAGAAAGGTTATAAAACGAGGCAAAACTCACTTAACAAATGTCTCACTTAAGAACAGACATTTTGGGCCCAACTGTGGGCGTAATTCAAGGGCTACCTGTAATCTATCCACAGCCCACAAACCAACCAGCACAAAAGGGAAGGCACACTAAGTGGTTTAAGGCCACACTCGTCTAAGGTGATGTATTTAGCGTATGGCATATCATACATGGGCTAGCAATATATGTTAACATTTCACCTAGATTAGTAAGGCACAATAAAATGTCAACATTAAGAAGATCTACGTTCACATACCAAGGTCTAGGCCATCTAACCATGGAAGAGCAGCATCAATGAGAAGCAACAGAGGGAAACTAACCGAAGAGAGAAGCAACCTAGAACTAAGGAGAAACTTCCTGACAGTTAGAACAATTAACCAGTGGAACAGCCTGCCTCCAGAAGCGGTGAATGCTCCAACACTGGAAGTTTTTAAGAAGAGACTGGACAGCCATTTGTCCGAAATGGTATAGGGTTTCCTGCCTGAGCAGTGGGTTGGACCTGATGACCTCCAAGGTCCCTTCCAACTTTATTTTATTATTATTGTTGTTGTTGTTGTTATTATTATTATTATTATTATTATTATTACTATTATTATTATGAGATACTGTACTGGACCGGTTCTCAAAGGTGCTTTTTTCAGAAGGCAAGTGGACTTTCTTGTTTTTCTTTGAAGACGTTTTGCTTCTGATCCAAGAAACTTCTTCAGCTCTGACTGGATAGCGGGGAATGGAAGGATATAGTCTCTAGTGTCACCATCCAGTCAGAACTTTACTACTATTACTAAAAACAAGGAAGTCCAATTGCCTCCTAAAAAAGCACCTTTGGGAGAGCCATGACTTGGAGGACTGAGAATCTCCATAGGCATGCTGGACCAGTGTATGCCCTCAGCTTTCAGCCACTCAGGATGTGATCTACAGTTTGACGAGGGACCCCACAGTCACACTGAAGGGAGGATGCTATGACCCGTTGGTACAGAAAGTCCTAGAAGATGCCATGTGAGGTGTACATGCTCTTCAGGATTGTCCACGCTGAGAAGGGTCTAAGAAAGAAACCGATATATCAAAGGGGTTTCTCCGTTAAAAAAACCCCCATCCATTTGGGTGTGGGGCCAGAGGATATTCTTCTTCCCATAGACAGCGCAGAAATTGGGGTCCTGGCTTTGGCATCACCTGGCTGAATTCCAGCTTGAAGCTGCTGACACAGAAAGGTAGAAAACGAAGAAGTACATCTTCAGCATGCTGGAGGTGAGAAGCAAGAGAGATGTTCTTCTGTAGCACCAAAGCCACCAACCGAGGTTGAAGGACCGAGACCTTGGTCTTGAAGGAGGTGATGACCCATCTTCAGGGTAATCTCATCTCTCAAGAAAAGCAGCACTGGGAAAACAAGGGAGTAAGAGTAAAAACAAAAACAAAAAACCCCACTCCAGAAGAATTTCCTCATTCTCAAAAGTTCTGGGTAGCTTTGGGCTGGCTTCTTCCGTACCGACACCCTGTTGACATTTACAAAGCAAACCGAATAATCTTTTTCTGGAAAAAGAGAGGTTAACAAATGACTGAAGTGGCGTTTCTGGTGTTCCCTTGGGGGGGGGGGGAACTCAGCAAAGGACGTCCTCCTGGTTCAGATTTTGTTGAGTTGGTTTGCATCTGAAGCCTCTGAGGGGAAATCCCCAGGAAACACACAGAGAGACTCTAATCAAATGAAGGACTCATAATAAACCCCAGAAGTAAGGGCCAGGGGCACATCTAGATGGCACGAAGGAGATGACCATCAGCAAAGAGAAGTTCAGCTCAGTTCAGCAGCAGGGGGGAAATTGTAAGTAAAATCTGATTTTCTTTTAAGTCAAAAAGACATGACTTAACCCTTCAGAATTCTGCGTGGCCTCCAGAAGCCTTGGGTCCAGCCCTAGGTGGCTTACAAAAGAGGCTATCAAATTGTAACTTTTAAATATGATCAGAGGGGGGAAATGGTTAACTATATGGGCAATAATTTCAGGATGTATGTTTTAATTCAATTTAAGGGAGAATTAAAATCACGTTGAGTTTTTTCTCGGGAGACCCACCTCCATTCCCTTTCTGGAGTGCAGAATTCCCGCTGCTCGGAAGTCAAGGGGTTTTCTGACAATTGCAATGGAAGCATCCTTAGAGGACATTATGGTGGCTTAGCTCACAAGGTCCAAAGCTTGGAGAAGTTTGAACCTCTGAGAGCTGTCTGGATGCATAGATTGAGTTGAGCTGAGTTGAGCCGTGCCTTAAATCATTGGGGTGGGTTGGGTGCAACATCTCTAGCTTGGCTCTCTTTTACACTGGTATTATTTAATTTCTTAAACTGGCAGGACAACCTATACATAATGATCCTACCTTTGTTCAAAATAGCTTTGAAAGCCCGATAAGAGGGTGGGTTGGGCAACCTTGATATAAGCGCCATGATGCGCCAACTCAAGTTGCTAAAATAAAGAAATAAACCCATCCTTGCGAACTCAGGAAGAAATGCCAAAATATCGCACATGCTTAGTTGTGAGCTTTGACAAATGCAACATATATATACATATACATATGTGTGTGTGTATTTTTAAAGAGAACGGCCTCTTTTTAAAAAGCAAATAACACCCTTGCACATCTTCATTTTTTTTCATTTCTTGTTTCATCTTGTCTTTTCAAAGTTGTGTCTGCCTCAGGAGTGTCTCCTATTCTTCTATTTTTGTATTTATTTATTTATTTTGCCTAAAGGCTTTGACTATTGAGCCCTGCATGTTGATATGAAAAGAATTGCTAAGGAATTTAAGAACAGATCTATGTAGCCCAATATTCTTTTCTTCTTCTTCTTCTCACCGTGATGAGTCAAGGGCCTCCAGGAAAACTGCAGCAAATGCAAATAATCTCAGTTCAATCTCCCAACAGGCCAGATAGGTTATTTTCTAGTCTTTTCTGAAACTCAGCTTTCCATAATTGTTTTTCTACCGTGGTGGGGTTTTTTGACACACAATCTAGCTGCAGGTGTCTTCCAGAACAGGGTGGGGAGGTGGACTGGAGGCCTTTAACCCTTCTGCTATCTCCCTTTCCCCGGTCTCTTGTTTCTTCCTTGGAAAGGACTGATCTGTAAAAGAATAATACAGAATACCAGAGGTAGAAGGAAGGGACCTTCCCCCCCCGTCCCCCCCCCGCTCAAGCAGGAGACCCCATATCTTCTTCAAAACCTCCATTGATGGAGCACCCACAACTTCTGAAGATTTGAAAGATGTTTCTATTTCGTTCTAGGTTGGATTTGTCTTTGATATTCTTCCAATCGTTACCTGTTGTCCTGTCCTCAGGTGCTTTGGAGAACAGGTAGATCCCTTCTTGTTGTGACAAGCCTTCAAAATATTGGAAGACATTTATCATGTCATTTATCATTACCCCCTAGTCTTTCTCTTTGTTAGCCTAAACATACCTAGCTCCCTAAATCATGCCCTGTATGATTTAGTCTTTAGAATAAATAAATAACAGAATAACAAAGTTGGAAGGGACCTTGGAGGTCTTCTAGTCCAGCCCCCTGCTCAAGCAGGAGACCCTATACCATTTCAGACAAATGTCTGTCCAATCTCTTCTTCAAAACTTCCAGTGTTGGAGCATTCACCGCTTCTGGAGGCAGGTTGTTCCACTGGTTAATTGTTCTCACTGTCAGGAAATTTCTTCTTAGTTCTAGGTTGCTTCTCTCCTTGTTTAGTTTCCATCCGTTGCTTCTCGTCCTGTGGGAGTGAAGCCAAGTATTTAGAGGGAAATGTGAAAAGAGAGCTTTTAATCCAATAAAGGAGCAGGGGGGGGGAAAGGTTTATAATATTTTCTTTTAAAAGTTTGGATTCTCTCCAGCTAATGCTTAGCCTTCACTGACATGTTTATCCTTTGCACATCCCCCTAAAAAGCATTATCTGCAGTTATATTTCCTAGCCTGGCATTTTTCCCAAAGAAGGGTCTCATCAGAGTTCCAGAAAGCTTTGTGTTTTTAAAAAAAATTATGGGAGGAGGCTATCTGCTGCAATTCCTACAGGCAATAGCTGCATTCAACCTGCAACATCCATCTTCCATTTAGGTCTAAAGACTGCAAAATCTTGAGTTGTTCTACCTCTCTCCATCTCCTGCACATCAGCCTGCTCAAAACGCTGGTCATTTTTTAAAATACCGTATCCCCATTGGTTTTGATTTTTCTACTGTAAATTACAGCGGATCTTATTTCTTACACAGCTGAAGCGACGAGCAAAGTTCCTTGTGGAAAACACAAACATGCAGGAATTGCACACACTGCGCGGTGCAATACCTTCTTTGCTTTCACTTACGTTGCGGTGTCAGTTTGTTGAGTCATTACAGGCGGGTCAGCCATTACAGTTTCCAAAGCATGGTGTACAGCCTTTGTGGATGAACCGGGGCCATTGCAACTTGTGCAACGCAATCTGGTTAAAACAAACCTTGCCTTGGAGCCATGTGTGAACCAGACTTAAATTCAGTCAGGTTCTAGGCGTGATCTTTGAAGTTTCCGATGTAAATTTGCCTTAAATTTCTCTCTTTTGGAGCATTAGTAGGACACCCTAAGTCACCGTTTGTTTAGCTGTGGTTTATTGAATAAACCACAGTTGCAGAACGCGTGAGTCATGCACCCCATGGACTGGACACACACACACACACAACCTTGTGAGGTAAATAAGAAACCATATTAGTGATCGTACTGCTTGATACTGCACTCGTGAGGCCATCCATGGAATTCTGAGTCCAGTTCCGTCACCGTGATTCAAAGAAGAGGCCAGGATCCTAGGAAGAGTCCAGAGAAGAGCAACAAAGATGATCAGGGATCTGGAGGCCAAACCCCATGATGAAGGATTGAGGGAACTAGCTTTGTCTAGTCTTAATGAAGAGAAGGGTTTAGGGCAGGGGTCTTCAAACTTGGCTCTTTTATGACTTGTGGACTTCAATGCCCAGAGTTCCTCAGCTAGTTGAAGTCCACAAGTCATAGGGCCAAGTTTGAAGACCCCTGATTTAGAGTGATATGATAGCAGTCTTCCAGTACTTGAGGGGCAATCACAGAGATGAGGAAGCTTACTCATTCTCCAAAGCATCTGGGAGAAAGACAAGAAGCATCTGGAGATGATCAGAGAGCGATTCAACCTGGAACTAAGGAGAAATTTCAATCAGTGGGATGACTTGCTTCCTGGAGTTGAGGCTCCATCACTAGGGTTTTTCAAAATTAGACCTGGGACGTCCAAGATCTAGGATGGTATAAGGACTCCTGCCACGGGCAGGGGGTTGGACTAGAAGACCTCCAGAGTCCCTTCCAGCTCTATGATTCTGCGTAGCCAACTCTATCAGACTTCTTTCTCCACAACCTGTTTTCTGTTTTTAGAGACCACCCTGGATTAAGACGTGCATTTTCGACGGATCATGCAATCGTGTTCGAAGGAACAGTATTGGGATGGTCTTCTGGGTAATTGTGTGCCTTGCAAATACGCTTGCCAACCACTCAAATCCCAGGGATGCGCCGATGTCTGCAGTAAGCATCTGAAAAATGATGTTGTAGGGCTTGCCACTGAAATAGTTGTATTATTCAGCCATTTTGGCCTTCCAAAGCAGCTTATGAATTGTGGTAGAACTGGGGGAAGGTGTTTGCTCTTCCAGCACCAGTAGAGGTGCTGAAGAAGTGGTTGTTTAGCTCCTGTGAGAAGACCATGCCACTCAGTTGCTTTACCAAGAGATCTTCCTCAACCCCCTGACCTCCAGATCATAGCCTCATATCCTCAATTTTGGAGGCTACGAGGCGGATGATCTAAATGAATGGTAACCAGCTGCCCAGGTTCTGACCAAGGACAGTCAGTTTATGGCTGGTTAGAGGTTGCTAAACCCATTCTCAGAAACATGGACCATTAGCCATGCTGACTTAAGGTTGATGGGAGTCGAAGTCCAGCAACCATGGAAGACCTTCTCTGCTTTCCAGCTCTTGAATGACTGGGGACACTTAGCAAGGTAGCAACGTAGAACGTGGTTTCTAACGCTACTTCCTTTGCACATCTGCAGAAGGGGGTTGCTGGAAAGCCAAATAACCACGTAGCTATGGCTCCCAAATTGTTTCCTGAATTGGCTTTCATGCTCTAAAACAGAAATGTCCAACCTTGGCCACTTTAAGACCGATGGACTTCGATTCCCAGAATGCTGGGAGTTGGTCCACAAGTCTTATAAGTGGCCAAGGTCAGACACCCCTGCTCTAAACCACTTGTACTACCCACCCTTTGCCGAGCTCCGGAGCTTAGCAGCCAGCCTGGACCACCAGCTGGAAAATGTTCTACAACACCCCGACAAGCCAGGTGTTGAAGGAGGCGGCAGGAGATGGAAAGGAGGGCGGCCACATCCCTTTGGCTGCATGAGCCATCTCAAGGATGCTGCTGTTTCCATGGCGACAGGATTTGATAGCCAATGAGCAGTGAGGCCAATCAAAGACTGGGTGGTTCTTTTGTGGGTGGAGAAAAGATATATTGCAGATTTCTCTCTCTCCTTGGCACAAACTCTTGCTTTTCTCTTAGGCTCCATGGAGTGCAACAAGCAAGTGGGCTCCTACTATGACCAGCTCCTGAGAGAATGCATCAAATGCTTCAGCATCTGTGGACAACACCCCAAACAATGCGCGCCTTTCTGTAGAAGTAAGAGCTGAAGAGGAGTCCCAAAACGGCCAGCTAGATTCCTCCTTGTGTTTTCCACCCCAGGATACAAGACACACACAGAGACCTTCCCCAGGTCCCAGTCAGTTGCGTTCCTCTCCAAAATGGGCAGATGTAGTCAACAAATGTGCCCAGGAACTGTAAACTGGGACAAGAGTACTACTCTTAGTCACCTTCTGAAGGCAAATCCTTCACATTTCTCAAGGAGGATTTTTTTTTTCTTTTCATAAGGAAACCCAGCAGGGATTTAAAAAAAATAAATAATCTTTGCCAGATTGTTTACTCGTGGGCATTAAGTTCCCAGTCCCTGGTGGGCATCAAACACAAAAGCTTAATATAGTCACGAAGAAGGGAATGTCATACGCTGTGGTTCGTTTTGCTAGCTGTTCATCGTTTATTGCATTTATTTGCGTTGATTTTGGTTTTGATTTTAAAAAGAAAATTGGTTAGCGAGCAAATACATATTATTGGTTGGTTCGATACAAATCCGGAAACCGTTTGCCATCACCAGCCTTCACTTGGGTAGTCAGCTTAGAGTCTAAGTTACCCAGTAGAATATCTGTAGCTCAGGGTTCAGCTGTGGGGTTCTTGGTGCTCTCTGCAGACATTTCATGACTCAACTAAGTAACATTATCAGTGCTAGAAAGTGGCTCGTAGCAACCCCCCTCCCTTCTAGCACTGATAATGTTACCTAGTTTGGTAATAAAACGTCTGCAGGAAAACTACCAAGCTCAGAGAGCACCAAGGACCCCATAGTCCTCGATCTCCTCCTCCTCCTCCTCCTCCTCCTTACCACCACCACCACCACCACCACCACCACCACAATCCCTCCTTCCTTCTAGCACTGATAATGTTACCTAGTTAAGTAAGGAAACATCTGCAGGAAAACTACCAAGCTCAGAGAGCACCAAGGACCCCATAGTCATCTTTCTCCCCCCCTCCTCTCCCCCACAATCCCCACTCTTTTCTAGCATTGATAACGTTACCTAGTTTGGTAAGGAAACGTCTGCAGGAAAATTTCCAAGCTTAGAGAGCGTCAAGGACCCCACAGTAGCTCAGATCTTCATAGATCTGCCCTGTTTGCATTCAAAGATAAAATCCAGAGACGACTCATCAAATTGCTACTGAAATAAGTCAGGGTGCGGGATAAACATTTACAGTATTAACCTTCTCCCTCTCCTTCTCCCCACCCCATCTGACTTCCAGAACCCTTTGCAAGCTCTTTACCAACTCCAGCTGCTCTCCAGCCTCTTCAGCGCAAACTGGACGCCACTTTCGACCAACAGGTTTTTCTCTACGTGGCCCTGGGCTTCTCTTTTTGCATTCTGCTCCTCTCCTTCCTGTTGACTTGGATTTACTTTAAAAAAAGGGGGGACAAGAAGTTCTGTCGAGCCAGCTCAGCGTCTTGCCATAAAAAGGGAGATCTTCCAAAAGGTAAAACTCTTCTCTCTTTTTTTTTCTTTTTCACTCCAGCTGGAGCAACAGCTTTCCTTGGGTCCTTCTGTACGTGCTCAGAAGATTCCTGTGCGTCATAGGCTCTTCAGCAATGACTCCATTTCTCTTGTGGACCTGGTGTTTTGAGCCTGACAAAAAAGAAGCACGTTTGGGCAAATTCTCCCTCATCCAGCTCATGCTTGCTCCAAAGGAGCTTTTTTCAAAAGGCAACTGGACTTCCTTTATTTTATTTTATTTTATTTTTCTCTTCAAGATGTTTCGCTTCTCATCCAGGAAGCTTCTTCAGAACTGAAGAAATGAAATGTCTTCCAGGAAAAAAAGAAAGTCCAGTTTCCTTTTGACAAAAGCACCTTTGGGACTGAAAAAAAAAAAGCAGTTTTCTAAGCGTTTCTAAGGCTAAAACGTCTGCTAAATCTACTTCAGCCAAGAGGATGCATGATACAAAGGGAGATGCATCTTCCTGGAATTAAATAAAACATTTTTCCACTCTGCTAAAGCTTGTTAACTTTCAGCTTCAGCAATCGGGTCCGATTACCCAGATTTTCAAAAGAGAAAGCTCTGAATGCTTAAGCTGGTCCACAGTCGGTATAAATAGAATAAAAATCTAATTCCCTTTAGGCAGCCATAAAGCTGCCCAGAGTTGCTTGATAGTCAGATGAACGCTATATAAATTTTAATACATTTAATACATTTCTCGTTGACTTGGCTTGTCAGGACAGTGAAACCGGTCATAAATATGAGTTAGTTGCTCAATGTCTGAATTTCGACCACGTGACTACAATCGTGTGAAAGCAGTCGTAAGTTTCCAATGCCATTGTAATTTCGGTCACTAAATGGAGGAGTATCAAAATCATGGCAGACTTGGATGAAAACTAATCAGAGAGAGAAGCAACCTAGAACGAAGGAGAAATTTCCTGACCGTTAGAACAATTAACCAGTGGAACGACCTGCCTCCAGAAGTTGCGACTGCCTCAACACTGGAGGTTTTCAAGAAGAGACCTGTCTGAAATGATATAGGGTTGGACTAGATGACCTCCCAAGATCCCTTCCAACTTTATTATTATTACTACTACTAAATAGACACCATGCAAGTCTTACATTCCTAAGGGTACTAAACCAGGTCTTCTTCTGTTTTTAGTTGCTATGTTCCCTCACCATAAACAACACCCGTCATTGTTACTGTTTTTTCAGATGGTCTCATGGAAGCGGGAAGCTTCGGAAGCGAATCTGGAGGGAACCAAACTCCGGATCCCGTTGAAACCTGCGGCTTCTGTTTCCCCGAAGTGAGTGCTGCCATCCAGGAGACGCGAGCGTGCCCGAGGCTGTACCAGCTAGAGATGCTGGCGGAAGTTGCTGCTGCTACCCCTGGCAGAACGGTGCCCGCCTCCTCCGAAGACTGCCATTTCCCAATTATATGTTCCCCCTCCCAAGAAAAGATGCAGATGAGCTAAGCCATAAGCAATGGAGGACGGCAGGAACATGACTCGCCCCCCCCACCTCCGCGTAAGGAAGCTGCTTGAATTGCTGAGGTCTTGAATTGTAAGGGCCTGTTTTACAGCCCCCCCCCCAAAAAAATGTTTGCCAGATTGTTCACTGGCGGGCATGAAATTCTCAGATCCTGGTGGACATCAGAGAAAAATGCTTCAATAGACCTCCTTGAGGAAAAGAGCTTATACAGCTAGTCCTCGCCTTACGATCACAACTCAGCCCCAAGACTTCGGTGGCTAAGGGAGAGGGCCGTTCAGTGGGCTTTGCCCCATTTTACGACCTTCCCTGCCACCGTTCTTCAGTGTATCGCTGGACTTGTTAAATTAGGACTACGGTTGTGAAGTGGCTTCCCTGTGGACCAAGGGGTCTTCAAACTTGCCCCCTTGAAGACTTCTGGTCTTCAACTCCCAGAATTCTGGCTGGCTGGGGGATTCTGGGAGTTGAAGTCCACAACTCTTAAAAGTGGCCAAGTTGGAGGATCCCTGCCGTGGACTTTCGCTTGTTGGAAGGCCGCCAGAGGGGAGCACGTGACCCCGGGACTCTGCAACTGTCAGTGGCCAAGCGTCTAAATTTTGATCACGTGACCGTGGGGATGCCGCCATGACGGTTCAGTGTCAAAAACGGGCGTGTGTCCTTTTGTTCGGTGATGTGATAACTTCGCACGGTTCACAGAAGGAACTGTTGCAAGGCGAGGACTATCTGTGGGCTGTGATTCGTCTTGCTAGCTGTATCCTGTCGCGTTTGTGCACACTTCGCTCTGTTTTTGTTTGCTTGGCTTGCTTAAAAGAAGGGTTGCTAAGTCGAGGACCTACACGCTATGTCCCTTTCTTGGATTTTCAGTAAAAAAAATTGGGAGGAAGATTTCCAAGGCAGTGGTATTTCTAAGTGGTCCCATTCTTCCTCCATTGATCACGTTTTTAGACCTGAAGGGCTACGAATTGCTAAGAGGCAAAAAAAAAAAAAGAGAGCCTGAATGCAGAATTTGGGGCCTTTGGAGATCTCAGAAAAGGACTCTGGGAGAAGGGGATACAGAAGACAGAATACTTATTCTGTATTCATATTTGGAGTTTCCCCTCCAGGAAAAACCTCGACGACATGAAGCGGACAAGGAGGGAAGGGTGCAGGGTGCATTGCTGCTCCTTACTCCACGTTTTCTGCAGGAAAAGGCCCTTCACAAGTTGGGGAATGATAGCTGCGAACTAAGCAACCCTACTAACACGTAGTTGCACTTTGTTCCTCCTCCTCTCCTCCCATCTCTCTTAAGTCTAAATCAAGGGGTCTCCAACCTTGATAACTTGAAGACTTGTGGACTTCAACTCCCAGAATTCCTCAGCCAGCTTGGCTGGCTGAGGAATTCTGGGAGTTGGAAGTCCACCAGTCTTAAAAGTTGCCAAGGTTGGGGACCTCTGATCGAAATGACCCAAAAGGATGCTTAAACATGAATTCGGTTTAGTTAGCCAGTTTCCCTTTCAAAAACCGTTTCCCCCATCAAAGGAAAGGCAGGCTTTTTCTGTTTTTTTGTCCCATAAAGGATGAGAAACAGATTGGAAGGGATCTACCGCTCAGCAAATCAATAATTCCAGGAATTAGAGCACCCACCAGGTTCTTGATTTAGGATCTCAGGATTTCCTGTCCAAGACAGTGACAGGAGAACCACGTGGGGGGGAGGGAGGGGGGAACTATCTCCCAGCCACGTTTTAGCTACAGCTTGGCTCTAAGGCCACAGTATATAAAGCACTTTGAAAAAGTACAAAAAATGGATTGTTATCAATGGGATCTTGTGTTTATAGAGAGGGTCCAATTACAATAAACTACACACCTTTGGCTGAAATATTCAGATGAACGAATAACGTTGCTTCCTGGTGAAAAATAAAGACAACCTCCCTCTGACGACAAATAACACCCAAATGATGGAGATGCTGTTGAATTCAGAGCCCACCCTTCCACCCACGGGCAGCCCTTCCTCCGGTTGCCAAGCAACCGGAGCACAAGCACTGCCCATGTGCCTGAGCCAATCCCTTTCTCCAGCACCTCTTGTGACAGCATGGAAGGAAAGGATGGTGAGGATGCAGGAGAGCCAGAACTGTTCAAATTCCGTTTATGGAATTGCTTTCAAATGATAAGAAGGGAAGGGAAGGGAAGGAAGGAGAGGATGGAAATAGGAAGGGGAGGAAGGGGAGGGAAGAAAAGGGAAGAAGGAAGAGGGAAGAAAAGGGAGGAAGAAGGAAGGGGAAGGATGGGATGGAAAAACAAATGGAAGGGGAGGGGAGGAAGGAAGAGGGAGGGAGGATGGGAAGAGCAGGAAGGACGGGATGAAAAAAGGAAGGGAAGGGAAGGAAAGGGGAGGAAGGAAGAGGGAGGGGGAGGATGGGAAGAGAAGGAAGGACAGGATGGAAAAAGGAAGGGAATGGAAGAGAGAAGGGGAAGAAGGAAGGGGGAGGATGGGAAGAGAAGGAAGGACGGGATGGAAAAGAATGGAATGGAAGAAAGAGAAGGGGAGGAAGAGGGAGGGGGAGGAAGGGAAGGAAGAAGACGGAAAATGGGAGGGGAGGGAAAGGAAGAAGGAAGGGGAGGACGGAAGAAGGAAGGAAAAGATGGCAAGGGAAGGGGAGAAAAAAAAGGGAGGAGAAAAGAGAAGAGGTGAGAAAAGAGAGAAAAGATAGGCGAAAGCTGAGAAGAATGGAAGAAAGCAAATCCAATTTGCCATCTTACAGTGAAAAGCAAAATTAGAAGCACTGAAATCCACAGAAAGCAAGAGGCAACGTGGGCTTGGAAGGGAACCAGACAGGTAAATGGTTAGAAAGAAAGTGGGTGAAATTGATAGACCTTGCTGGGAAGGATAAATTAGCTTCTTTGAGAAAAGGCACCATCTTTACTGATTGGTGTCTGAAAATCTCTTGAGGCGGTTTTGCGTAAAAATGGGGAAAAAAATGAACTTATGATTTAGGACTTGGATGATCAGCCAGGATAATTATTGAAAGAAGACTATTATGATATAAATTTAGAGAGTGAGCTTAAAATAGAACTGCTATGAAGATTTTTTGCATTTTTCTTGTTTTTCTTCACCTTTTTTCTTAGACCATTCGTGTTCTTTTTTCCTTCGTAGTTTATGCTAGTTTTTATCTTTCTTTAAAACATTTCAATAAAAATTATATCAAGAATTTTAAAAGAAAATTATTGCATAATTAAAACAAAAGAGTAATAGTGGCCAATTCTAGCAAATAGAATGGCCAAATATTTTCTAGGAGGAAAATAACTGTCCAAAATAAACCTACTCTAAGATGAAATTACAAAAAAGCAGAGAAGATATACACAAACATTGTAAAGCAGATATGTACTTTGGGACAAATTCTGGAATTACAATGTGCACAGACATGTTTCTGTTTTAGACCAAGATATTAGGAACAACAACATGATCTTTTATTTGATTAGTAACTTGGAACACACTCTGGGTCAAAGTGTCCCAAATCTGGCTCAATATATTGATGGAAATTTTCTTTTAATTAAAATCTTGGCTGTTTTTGCAAATCTGTTCCAAACCTATCAAGTCCTTTTGTCCCAAAAAAAGCAGAAAAGGATTAACAGTTATAACTACTTCCTAAAACAGTTTTCTTTCTCTCTCTCTCTCTCTCTTTTTTTGCCATCTAACATTAAAAAGGAAATAGAAGGTTTGGAGGTGGAGAAAAAAGATTATATTGCCCAAAGTTCAGCCACAAGAGGGTGCCATAATTCCATTTTAGAGAGAATTTTGAACTTCAGAGGCAGAAAAAAAGGTCAGTTCCTCTTCCTCTTATTACATTATTTAAAGGGAAGCAGGGAGATACAATCACAACACTCACTATGGCCCCTTCATCTGAAGCTATAAAATGGCTACGTTGGCTCACCGATTGGTAATTGCTGTTTTATTCCATGTAACATTGGTTTTAAATTTATCTCGCAGGAACCAATAAAGATTTTGGAGAGAGATATAGAATAGACTCACGAAGGGGGAAGATTTTAGGATTGATCAGCACCCTCGTGAGATACGTCCATGTTCTACAAATCGTTGTCTACTAATATTCCTGCAAGGGTGGGAATCACCATTTTCATGTTCTCATTGAATACGATAAGCTTTTTGAGCAGGCCAGTGTGTTCAGAATACCGTTTGAAAAAATGCCATGTTTTAGAGCAGGGGTCGTCAAACTTGCCCACTTTAAGACCGACTCCAGAATTCCCAACCAGCAAGTCATAAAAGGGCCCACTTGGAAGATCCCTGCCTTACATAGTATCTGCCTTGAATATCTAAAGGCTCTGAGCAGCCTATAGGAAGCATGAGTCAAGCTCCCTGCAACTAGACAAATATTTTGACCAGGTTTAAATTCTGCAAGCACCAGTTGTCTCAAAACCAGTCTATTTTCTCTACTTTTCACTGGTGGAAAATTACCAGATTGGGTTGACCATCTCTGAAATACCCAATAGACCTCTAGGACATAAGGAGTTTTAGAAAGGCAATGAGGCTTGCTAGTTTAAATGCAGAAAATATCTTTTTTAAAAAAACAAACACCCATAAAAGGCAGCTTTGGTGATCTGAGCAGAAATCCAGCTGGTACTGAAGTCAACTGTGGGCCATTTTTTTTCTCATCTCTCTTCTCACACAGAAAGATAAACTTGTTTTGTGTAGATAAAAAGAGGTGGGACAAAAACCACTTCCCCGTGGTTACTGGGCACACACACAGCTTTAAAGCCGTGCAGCCTGAAGGGTTCTATTTATTATTATTTTTTTACAAGGCAAAGAAGCCGTTGTCTTCGTTAAGTGACAAATAAAACGTGGCCCTGCCTCTGGATAAAATATACAGCCCATATGGGCTTTGGCGGTGTCTAGACAGGGGAGGGAGAGAGAAAGGGAGAAAATAAATGCATTTCTGACAAAAAAACAAAAGCAAACATGTCCCCCAGCTTCCAGGAAGAAAGGACAAAGCCAGAAGGCTTAGTATACAGAAAGAGAGAGAGAGAGAGGAAGAAAGAGATGAATGGGAGAGAAAGAGAGCTAAGAGACCAATGAAAAGCCAAGCTGGTAGGAAGTCTTTTGCTTAGGAAGAAACGTCCAGTAGCTGAAAACAGAATTTCAAAAAATAGCATCCAGTCACCAGAGGTAGCAGATGGTAGCTTTTTTTTCAACGCCAAGGGTCTCAGGAGGGCAATATTTCTTTGGAAAGGGAAGATGGGAAAACAATTCCCCCCCCCCAACACCACCCCTGCCCCAGGAGACCAGCCTTACTGACCTCATCCCGCCCGCCCCCCCAACCGCAATAAATAATCAAGACTACTTTTTACAGTATAAACATGCCAATTCATTCATTTTACTGATGGTTGTAATTATGAATCTCATTCTTATGGGTGGAAAACGATGAACAAAAGTACATGTGTAAAAGGGGCAGGGGGAGGTGGGGGGGGCGAGAAATTAATAAAATAGCAATGTATAGAAAAACAAAAACAAAAAAGGGGGGGAGGGAGGCTCAAAAGAAGAAACCCAGCCTGTTCCAAAAAGAACAAGTCTCCCAAATTTACCTGTGCCGTGACTTAAAAAGAGGCAGGTTTTGGGTGGTACCATCGCTGCCGCCGCCACGCCGGTCCCATCCGTCTGGCCTCCGGCAAAGGCTTTTCCGAAAAACAAAACAGCCTAATAATTTCATACTGTATTTATTTAATAACTAAAATTCACAAATAAAAAGGTACTCGCAAAGTCCATTCCGTGGCGGTGTCCCCACTCTCCTCCATCTTCGAATTGCTTTCAGACCCATTATAGGCGATTTAAAAAAAAAAAAATGGGGCTTGGGGTATTTGTTTGTTTGTTTGAATTAACTGTCGTATGATTGGTCAAGTTGGAGCTGAAGCACCAATGGAGAAGATGCTTTATGGAGATGAGAGCACGCACACACACACACGCACACACACACACCCCGGGCCTTCCCACGCGCATCTCGGAGGAACGGCGGGAGAATCTGCAGCACGTGGACTCCTCGGCTCCCTCTTGTGTCCCCATCCAGGGCAACCTTTGCGCTATCCTATTTCTTTGCTCAAAGTCACTGACGGGAGCCTCTGTTAGGGTCCCGCCTCTTCTGTCCTCGCAGGACCGCGAACACGAGGAAGAGAGTTCGTTTATTTTTATTTTATTTTTTAAACTCCTCTAGGCGGTGAGCCAACGGCAAGCAGGTCCTGTCACAGCTCGGGGCCAGTTGTCGAATGGGTGTCTTTTCATTTCAGGTAGTGTTGTGTGTTTCATCGGAAGTCTACCACTCCTTTCGCTTCCTTTCTCTTTTTTTGTCTTTTCGCGTCAACTGCCGAGCAGGGCTACTCATACTCCAGGAACTGTTTGTGATAGAACAGCAAGTATCTGCGGAGTAGGGAGAAGAAAAGCAGGTGTGGTAAGAGCGAGGCCTACGCAGGTCTCTCTGCGTACATTCTGGATCCCCCCACCCCCCAGCCCTGTTAAGAGCAGAAGGGATTGGGATTTTTTTTTTTTTTTTTTGATAAGGGAGGAGGGCTTTTGCTAGCGCTCCTGATCTTGTGGTGAGAATCTAAATAATTCAAGGCCAGTGACTCATCATCAGAGGATACCTCTGGGCTGCTGAGGGTCTGACAGCCACGCAGGACTGAGGCTGAATCCCACTCCTA